GATCTAAAACTATTGTTATACAACAAGAGATGTCTCAAAGGACCATTTTAAAAATTTCAACTTTTAAACCGTTTCGATATCCTGCAAACCTTCTCTACGGTTACTGTGCGATTCTCTCGGTGCGGCAACTTTTTATCCTTAATGTGGTAATCAGACAGCACGCTACACTAAAGTATACAACTAACTACACTGATAAGCGAAGACGCCACATAGTATGTGTGCGCTTCATCAACAGCCTTTAATAGTCCACTGCTGGACATACTACTATACTACTTAAAAAAAAATGATGATTACCTATTCTTTCTTATGCTCTTTCGTATATAGCAAAATAAACAAGGTTATTGGTATCTACGCCATAAAAAAATTAATATAAAAATATATATATATAGTTTTAGAAAACTAAAAAACACGCTTTCTATAGAAAATCAAACTAAAAAATAGAAAATAAATTTGAAAAAAAGCGTTGGTTGCCTGTTGCAATAGTAAAAAGCACCCCACGCTTTTTTTAAATTTTTTTTATTTTTTAAATTAGTGTATTGACATCGGTCCTCGATATATCTACAAAGTTTGAACGAATTCTGACCGTTTAAAGTCAGTCAAAATCACGCCCAAAGGAGTCGGTTACAAGCATACAAACAGACATACAAGTAAAGCGTGTAAAAACTGTATTGCGATGGTTAAGCGATTTGTCATATGATGAAACTGAGACTATAATTACTGTTTTGCAATGAGTTACTTATTAGAGGACTTTGCTGATTATATAAATAGAATTCTACGATTGGACAAAGTTTTGGTACAATAAATTTTATACTCACCCTTTGACACACACGCACTCATCCTTGCGCTTAAAACGTCCGGAGGACCCCCTACATTACAACACAGTAGTTGTATAAGTTATGTTATGAACTTTTTCATTGATACTCGTAATGTTATTTCCAAATAACATGTGAGCACGTGTGGTAACGCTGAACTACAAATATACCATATATATAAATATACAATATACTGAAGGATAGAGGAGCCCTATAGGTAGGTAGGAACCTGTGCCTCAGCGTCACAGGTTCCTACCTAGTTCAGCAACGGAGGCAATTCATAAGTTTGCTTTTAAGTGGATAAGATATGTGAAAAACTATATATACACATAATTTGGAACAATAAATATTATTATTATTAATTCACTTAATTTTTTAAAGAATGTCACAGAACGGAGGAACAACGGATATTGATAAAAGCTTTAGAAATTACCAAAAATTTCAATGTAATTATAAATTGAACATAAAATTGTCTGATAAATTATCCTAGCGAGAGGACTGAGATAAATGAGGTCATGGGTATTCCACGGATGTCATACAATTTAATAGCAATATTGAAAAATTTATTTAAACAGAATCAAGTACAAGTACAGCAGCTAATAGTAGTAAAGTTTGTAAAAGACAGTATAATTTAGATACAGTTATCTAAATTATACTGTCTTTTACAAACTTTACAAAGACTTCTTTTATAAACCATACAAAGACCGAAATTTGAGGTAAAAAGGGTATAATATCCCTTCAAATATCCACAGCCCGTTTGTATTGTCTTTTTACAACTATCCATGGACCGACGCTTGTAAAAGATTAACCATTGTTTTGTACTAAAGATTTTTTTACAATGCGATGATATAAGGCATAGATACCGGGTTTAGCTAAGTTCACCTTATTAATAATTTCTTCAAATAGTTATTATTTATTAGTATTTGAGAATTTACATTTGTGCAGATATTGTCATTTTCAGCTGAAGTACTTAAAATCCAGCCCCGGTTCTACGATTTTTTCGATTTGGGGCAGAGAGTTAATAATAGCGTCCTTTTCCCTAGCGTTTGAGAAAAATCACTTAAAAAACTCACAAATATATACTTAATGATTGGCATTTTGGTTGGATAGACGGCCTGTTAGTATAGTGGTTAGTGACCTTAACTGCTAAGCCGGAGGTCGTGGGTTCGATTTTCACCCAAGACAAATATTTGTGTGATGAGTATGATGATTTGTTCTGTGTCTGGGTGTAATTTATGTATAATATGTATGTATTTACAAATAAATGTGTTTATCAGCAGTCTGGTTACCATAGCACAGGCTCTGCTTAGTTTGGAATCAGACGGCCGTGTGTGTGATATGTAAAGTTATTAAAAAAAAGTTAGTTTTTGTGATTTTAAAAAGATATTTTTTACTTTCGAGAAAAAAAAATCTTAAGAAGAAATTGTATGAAACACATTTTTGTAAGAAAAATAAAAATTGATCTCCTCAAAAAAACATGCCTCGGTTTGGCCATCCGCTTTGATACCAAAAAATTATAAAAGTAAGAAAAACAATATTATCTTTAATAAGCCCGAAAGTGAGATTATGTATGTTGGTACATGTCTTTCATATAATTAGGTTATAAGCCAGAATTTGCTTGAATTAATTTAGAGTCAAATTAGAGTCAAAACAGGACCGGTTGTGACGTACTATATTTCCTTCTGTGTTTACCGCGTGAAAGTTAGGAAGAATCTAATACAGCCGTCATTGCGAGAAGTACCAGGCATATCCATGAGTTCCATTACATATATCCTGAACATAGCTTTTAGATGTTCTTTTGGATCTACGTCGTGCACAAAGATTTTCTTAAACCAGGGTGGACGTCACTAACCTAAAATAGTATGCTATTTTAGGTCAGTGACCTTCACCCTGGTTTTACAACACCTTAAACTTGTCAGAATAAAAAAAAATGCATACATCTGTTTTTCTAAACTACTTACAGGAAGTGTCCATTGCTGAGCTAATACTTTAAAACAATCATAACCATAAAATAATTCCGCTTTTGTTAACGCGCGCTTTTGTATTAGGGTTGTAGAGGTGTTTTTTTTGTTAAATATGTTGTCTTATGTTTAAATACACTATGTTGAGTTTTTTACCTGCAATTCCAGCATTCGGTGACTAAGAGTGATCTTAATCCTCGTTGGAACAACTGCAGCTCAAACGTTTGTTGTAAAGATGTGCCGCAACATACGATTTTGTTTAAAAGTTTATTGAGTAGTCAAAGCTAACGACAAACGTACAACTATAAATAGTGATATATGTATCTACTAAAATATTATAAACTATATTAATGTTAATATAACAACAATGGGAAAAAAAAAAAAAAAAAATCCTAGCTTTTGCCCGTGGCTCCGCCTGCGTGTATGTCGGTTATCGCGTTACACGCTTATGTACGTTTCAAAACGTGACAGCTTAACAAACTCACTTTCACATTTATGAGCATGACATTTATGAAAGGTACTCTTTATTGCACTTCTTAATTAGGATACATACAATCCATACAAACTCATATTCCATACTAATATTGTAAATGCTAAAGTGTGTCTGTCTTTCTGTCTGTTACCTCTTCACGCTTCAACCACTAAACCGATTTAGATGACATTTGTTATTTTTTTTTTTTTTTTTTTTTTTTACACACTCACACACGGCTGTCTGATCCCAAACTAGGCAGAGCCTGTACTATGGTAACCAGACCGCTGATAAACATACTTATATATTTCTAAATACATACATATTATAGATAAATTACACCCAGACACAGAACAAATGACCGTGCTCATCACACAATATTTGTCCTGGGTGGGAATCGAACCCACGACCTCCGGTTTAGCAGTCAGGGTCACTAACCACTAGACCAACAGGCCCCCATAAGGTTTTTATCCCAGAAAATATCCTTTAAGGGGTTGAACTTTGAGAAATTTGGTATGTTTTGATACTTTGATTCTCGAGGAAAGACCTAGGCTACTTTGCATTGCGATAGCCGTCATTTACATGGCAAAATCTAGTGTAAAATATAAACAAAAAACAGGGCGGCATTATCGCAGTCTGCGATCTCTTTCAGGCAACCTTAAGTAACATATAACTTTTGGTGCGCATTTACAATTGCCGTATATTAACTAATATTACATTTCATAATACCGATTGCAGGTAGGTTTAACTTTAGTTTTACGAATTGCAATCGTATATCAACGTGACAAAGTCCATTTTCAATTGTTGTGACACATGTGTGTCGTGGTGGATTTGTGCTGACCCATACTGTTGTATTTTGAACTATTCAATCTTAAATTAATAAAATATTATATCTATTACATAGCATTTTTTTTGTATGATTGAAACTATTTTTGAACATTAAGCACCTACCAGCTGCCTCAACGGGGTACCTATCGGGTAAATACCACTTACACTTAAATGGATTCTAATTAGTACGTTAATTTAAAAAAAAATGCTATTTAAAAAAATACATAGATTCAACTCCAATTTCCCATCTGGATGAATCAGAGCGAATACCTAGGGTAAATTAAATGATCATCGGAGTGCGTGAACCTCTACATCTCAAAAAATAAAAAGTATTTTTTTTATTATTAATAATATATTCTTTAATTTTCTATTTACCTACCTATGTGCACGTCTCTGTACGTCTTAGGGAATTTCTCTCGCTGGTACCTCGGCCATTAAATAGAAATGTAACCTACATTGTATTACATTGAGAACATCAGCAATTGTTTATTGATGATTTCAATTTATAAGATATAATAAAAGTGCCGAAAACGTGACGAGTTTAATCAACAATTTCACGTATTAACAAGACGACCATCCGTACAATGAGTTGGTGTGTTTAGCCTCCTCTTACATTCACAAAAAAGGAGACAATAAAATAGTTTTTCTGCAGTTTTATGACTTTTGGTAAATCCCGAACTTACTAAGAAGTTGCAAAAAAAGGATGCGTTTTTTGTTCGAGCCAGTCCTATTTGCGAAAACTACAATTGTTCAGAGCGGAGAGCGGGGGAAGTAGCAATTACTGTAAGGGTGCGCTTTAGTAGAACTTTTACCTGTGCGAAATGCAGCGGGCATTTTGATGATACAGTCCAGTCGAACGCGAGCCTTGGAAAGGTTCAGTATTCAGTGCAAAAGTGTTCAGTTAAGTTGGTGTTAAGTATTAAAGATAAGATGTCAAAAGATAAATCAATGAGTGAAGCGAAGGATGAAATGACTGCGCAACCATGTAAGTAATAGCGATAGATGTTGTACCTAAGTTAGAATCTAACGACCGTAACCTTAACTTGGTTTTAAACTTTACTATTATTCGCTAAGAGTCCATAGCAATGTTTAACTTCACCCATTAGATATGTAAAATAGCTGTAAAGTTTCCAAATGCATAAATAAAGGTTTTTTTTGCGGAATAGTCCAAGTCTAACCTGCGCTCAAATCCGTACAAATTGCCATAGTGTAACTTGGTCTGTCTAGTGATAACGTTGATGTGTACCTAATAACCTTTATAATAATATATATAACCTTATATAACCTAAATAACCTTTATAAGAGTTATGTGCTGTACGTACGTACTTGAAATTGGTGAGAAATACATTCATATCTTTACATGGTATAGAATGAAGTCGCTTTTCGTTCAAACAACTAACTACATATCTAGCAAACTACGCAACGGATTTTCATGCGATTTTCACCAAAAGAGAGAGTGAGTCAAGAGGAAGGTTCATATAATTAAAATACATGCATTTTATATTGCAAACGCTCACTAAACCTTAAGAGATACATCAAAATAATGTACCCACTACGAATAGGGAATATGCATGTATTTTTTTTATTTTTTTAACGATTCTACTAGTTATTACATTAAAAAAAAAATATATAACACATTCGAAATATAAACCGTTAAGCAAAAAAAAAATTATTAAAATCACTATCATTTTGGGGCAATTTGAACACTTCCATTTTGGCGCGCTTTTTTTGTGACGTCAGATTACACTTTCAGACGAATGCGATGTCAACAACGGAGTGTCACAAAGTTTCTGAAAGTTTAAAAAGTGAGTGATAAAAATTAACTTATTACCATGGAAAAGCCAATAAAAACTTATAATAAATATTGTGCCGTTCCTTTGTGCCCAAATAATATCAAAACTGCACCTGAGCGTATTTTAGGTTATATTTATGTTATACGACTATTAACAAAACCATGAAAACGATCATTTAATAAAATTTATATAACTGGTTTACCTCGCAGCTTTTACTCCTCTGAGTTCAGCAGACGTAAAATCTGAATTAGATGCGAAATAGGTGCTCATCATAAACACGTCTATTTTAGGAAGATTATCTGATTGTACTTTGACAAAACCGCTTTCAGTCATTGTGTTCAGTCTTTCTACACGGGAATTTAATAATTTAACACTGAAAACGTATTAGTTATTAACTTAAAATGAATCAAAAAATCACCAGAAACCAAATATTACAAATACACACAACTTGTTGACACTCTTGACAGTGTAGGTTGACGTCACGTTTTATTCAACCAATAGCGTTGAGTTTTATAAATTTGCGAGGGAATCTTAAAAAAGCCAATTTTTGATGATTAAATTTCACTATTAAATTTTAATAAATTTCAAAAATAATTGTATGGGTATCTTTTTTTAGCAATAAAAATTACAAATAAAAATATTTTGTCCATTTTGGTGTCACGCGCATATTCCCTATTGTATATCTTAAAAAGATTTACAAAAAAGTAGGCGATGGACTATCTCCTAAGGTTAGCTCACAGTAATCATTTTTATCTTGTACTAGTTTAGTTAGTTAATGTAAATTAAAATTACCCATTACAGCAAATCATTAAAATTAATATCTTGGAAGTTATCAGAGACTTAAATGCGAGGTGCCTTTAAAATATTGTATACAATAAACTTGTGCCGCAGCTCCGCCCGCGTCTACGTTGGTTACTCGTATCGCGGTAAAAATTTACAGATGTTACTCTCTGATAATGCAGCTTTCTATTGGTGAAAGAATTTTCAAAATCGGTTCAATGGTTATAATATAAGTATGGATGTATAAAGATATCTTGTTATACTACATCATAACCACATTAGTAAATCTACATTGCACCCGTGCAAAGCCGGGTCGGGTGGCTAGTTATTATCATAACTTAAGACTGTCATTCTAAAATACCATGTGAACCTATACGATATACGTCACAGACAATTTTACAATATATCTTTTCGCAATCGAAAAAAACATTCTTAATGTGTTAAAATAACAAATTAACGATTTTTTAAAATTACTTATGCTGGAAGACTTGTGGCATGTGTCATATATGGATTAGATGGTAATATTTTACGTTAGCGTTGAACTTTAGATCCTTCATGTTTTACAGTTGCAAGAGACCGCAGATATAAAGTGTTTGATGTTAATTTTAACTTCATGAAGTCACGAAAAACTTTTGACAGTCAGACAAATGATCAAACTCAAACTCAAACTCAAACTTTCTTTATTTCATAAAATTTTCAAAATTGTTTGAAATCGTCTTCCATGTAGACTCTAAAGTCATAGATCAACACACACAAAAGCAACAATCTCTGTTTTGTCAAATAGTAACCAAATAAATTTTACAAAATCAAACCCATACAAAATCTATGATATGCCTGTGCCGATCTACAACCGCCCGTTTCCAAGGGGTTGAGCCTTATGAGAAGAAAGGGCAAACAAACTCATGGCCACTCTTTTGCAATTCACAAGTAGATACAATGGCACTATTAAATATATCACAACATTGTTTTGATGTGTGCATGTTATGTGTATGTCCGTTATTAAGGACTTAAAGGTGAAAAAACAACGAAGAGAAAACAAGATTAAGAAGAACAAACGAATACAAGAGAAAATGAAGTGAAACATAAAAAATAGAAAAAATAATAAAAAACATACTAGCCACACCACATTTTTACTTAAGAAAGAAATAGCCTGCGCTAATTAATCCCAAGCATTCTTGTCCTCCATGTAATCCACAATCGAGTAGTAGGCCCTCTGGCACAAGCCACGTTTTATTGCGGATTTAAATTTGTTAATACTCAACTCCTGAATATTATTTGGGATTTTATTATAAAATCGGACACATTGACCTCGAAAAGACTTGTTTATCTTTTGGAGCCTAGAGGCGGGTACAACAAATTTATTTTTATTTCTGGTATTTATGGCATGTACATCACTTTTTTTCAAAAAGCTATCTTTATTTTTGTGAACATATATTACATTTTCATAAATATATTGACTTGCCACTGTCATTATATTTATTTCTTTAAATTTCTGCCTCAATGAACAACGATTGCCTAAATTATAAAGTGCTCGAATAGCTCTCTTTTGCAGCACAAAAATGGTTTGAATGTCGGCAGCATTCCCCCACAGCAGAATACCGTACGACATTATGCTATGAAAGTAACTGAAGTAAACAAGTCGTGCTTTTTTTTTTTATTGGGACTAATCCCACCCACACGCCCACCACTGTAACTCCTGTACACCAGGATCCACAGCAGTGACCCACGAACACACCGAGTTATGACACTCGGGAAGTCCCAGGAAGAAATTAAACTGTCTTGGAACCCGCAACGAAATTAATCAGAAGAAAATTGGAGGAGTTGGAAATACAGTAAATCCACTTCCCTCCTTAGCAAAGCGGGAGACAAAATGAAGTAAAAATGGGCATACACCCTTTTAAACAGGGAAGCACCACGGCCACAAATATTACGGGTCCTACGTAAGCTATGTTTGATTTCTATAATATGTATGGCAGAATCGCCTAAACGCACGGAAATTCACCCTAGTTGACACAAGATCCCCATAGTATACCGCCCCAGATGTCACCTGCAAGCTATTCAGCATTATATTACGTTCATTATACCAAAGACTACATTCCCAGAGGATATGATGAGCAGACTGTTCATAGTGAGAGTTAGGTGTTGAGCATTGACACAGTGGTGACTCGACTAATTTAAATGAATAAAGCTTGCTCTTAAAGTTACCATGACCCGTAAGAAATTGAGCGACACAGTGATCCACCTCAAGCCATATCCTCGACAACCGTTCGCGAACAGATGGAAAGAATTGGTAAAGATGGCGCCCCTTGGATGATTCATCCCAGCGTTGTTGCCATTCGTCTATGAGGTCGTTATAGACATCGGGCTGCTGTTGAAGCAATCTTGTAATTTTACCGCGATCCCGCGCGCCTAAAAAATCGCATTCCATGTTTTGTTGTCTTGAATAGTACATGGCTGCACGTCTCTGCACCTCGAGATCGACCGGAAGCACACCCGCCAACACCGGCAAAGCCTCAGTGCTAACCGTCCTATATGCCTTACACAAGAATATCAGTGCAAGTCGTTGGCCTTGTAACAGTTTGCGACGGACAGCGCCTACGGTCGCCCTATCGGCCCATACAGGTGCACCATAGCACATAGAACCTAAATAAGTAGCTCCGTATATGATCTTTAATGTATTAAATGATAGACCCCATGTCGCAGTTGATATCCTTGTCAATGCACAGAAACTCTTTTTAGACTTTTCATTAACTATTTTAATATGTTCGATAAATGAAAAGTTTCTTTCTAAAACTAATCCTAGATAACACACTGTGGTTTTATTTTTTACAGTAACATTGTTAAATCTAATGCTCGGCGGTGATTTGAGGTTACCTTTTAAAAGTAGCTGGAAGGTTTTGTTGGGTGCAAAAGTTAAGCGATTACGTTCACCCCATTGAGATATCAAGTTCAAACATCTATTGGCTAATCTCTCAAGCCCCGCCCTAGTATCAGATTCCACCAGTAATAAGCCGTCATCAGCATACGCGTTCAGAGTACATCCGGATGGTATTGGTATCGCAAGAAAATCGTCGAAGCCGATATTCCACAAGTATGGACCTAGCACCGATCCCTGAGGACATCCCATTGTAAGCGCCTTCGACACAGAATGATGACCAAGTCTTAGTTTAGTTGTACCTTGTGAAAAGTACGAAGAGATAAGGGAATAAATATTTTTAAAGCACCCCCGTGATTTTAATTTCAGCAACAGCATGGGCCACCATGCGTTGTCGAAGGCGCCAGATATATCTAAGAAAATAGCCAGCACGTATTGAAATTTTGACCCTGTGACAAACTTTCTAACCGATATAACAGCGTCAGTTGTTGATTTACCCAACGTAAATCCAAATTGTCTATCATGAAATTTGACTCCACCTGGCAGAAGCCGGGGCACTACAAGACGTTCTAAAAGCTTTCCTAACGATGGTAACAATGTGATTGGTCGGTAGGATTTAGGATCATCCGGTGGCTTGTCGCCACTTTTTGGTATTATACGAATATTACCGCACCGCCATATACGAGGAAATATTCCTTCAGCAATGCAACGTTTAAAGACAGTGAAAATCGTGTCACCCGAAAGTTTACAAGCTTCTTTTATCATTTTGTTAGATATTTTATCATCGCCCGAAGCCTTGTTTAGCGGCAAGGATCTAATGATACCGAGAAATTCGTCTGAAGATGGTAAATCAGACATTGGAGATTGTGGTGGTTCGATGGCCCACTGCCTGATCTGTCGGTGATGATCAGTGTCGTTCTCCGGTCGATCGTCAGGTACGAGTGAGTCTAAAAGATATTCTGCTGTTTGTTCTACTCCTGTGGTATATCTGTTATTAATTTTGATGTTCTGTATGTATGCAAGGTCGATTGATCTATTTGCTTTAAATTCGTGATACAAAGGTGACCACGGGCCCTCTCTATCGAGTTTATCAACAAGTTTCTGAATTAAGTTTCCCTTGGATTTTTCCACAGCAGCTCTGTAGTGGGACCTGGCAACTCTAAGAGCAATGAGAGCATTGTTGTACAAATCTCCTGTTACGTTATGTTTTTTAATAGTGTTTAATTTTCTACGAGCTTTCCGGTAGCTTCTACGTAGTTCGGCTAATCTATCATTCCACCAATCACATCTACGAGTGTTAGTGATAGATCCGCGACCAATAGTTACATCAGCGCAGTATGTAAAAGTTTCTGATAGTATTTCTGCGCTTTCCTCAGCTGATAAACTACTGCGACTGAAGTCTTTGGTATGAGTTGCAAAGAGTGAACCAAACAAAGCCCAGTTCGCACCTTTAGTTTTATATCTAAAATTATAGGGAGCCTTTTGTGGATCCTGTGCAACCCTTGGTATGAATTCGTACACGATCAAGCGGTGATCACTACAGGATGCGTCCGGAAGGACACGCCATCCGGATATCGAGACGTCGCCGCGCGTAAGCGTCACGTCAATAGAAGACTCACCCATTGGGTTGCAAAAAGTTGGTGGTGCATCGGGGGTATTGTGAATAATAAGATTCATTTCCGCAATGAAATCTTCAACCGCACAACGTCGAACCGTGTCGGTTGAACGCAACTTGCCATACCACAATGAAGATGACGCATTGACATCAGCGCACATGATAATTTTATGTCCCACGAGGAACTGCAAGACGTAACGTAAGTGATGTAAGTGAGGATCAATAGGATGTGAATATTGAAAATAGCAGCTCACTACGTAAACCTTACAGGTAGAGGATGAGATCTCAGCAACGGCGCAGTGTGACGTCATAAGATTACGCAAAGATGTAACCGTAAAATTAGAACTTGCAACATATATCCCAGCCTGCGAACGGCAGTCAAGCTGTACTACATTACGACGCAAGTGAGCGCTCTGATATTGTTCTTGTAAAAGGACAATGTCTAACTTTTGTTCTAAAATTAAACGGTCTAATTCTGATGTAGCTATTTTATCGTTATGAAGATTTAACTGGCCTATCGAAATATTATTCATTACTTAGTAAGTTACTCTTTAAACTTTTTTTTTTTTTCTTTTTTTTTTTTTTTTTTTTTTTTTTTTTTTTTTTTTTTTTAAACTAAGTTAAACTATTCAGTAATTGGTATTTAATATTAGCTGCTCCAGTTTTAATTTGTATGTGGCACAGTCGTATGAGCCGCATCGATGGTCAGATGGTTTTTTGAACCGCTTACACTGTGCGCACGTGGGCTTAAAATCTGGTGTGTCTTTATCTGGACAAGCTCGCGTTTCGTGTGCGGCGGCGCAATTAGCACAAGTAGGGGTTTTAATGGTGCAAAACTTTTGTACATGACCGAATTGCTGACAATTTAAGCAACGAACTACTTCTATATCGTCTATGAATCTACATGTGGCCCAGTCTATATAAAGTTTATCTTTTGTGTTGGCTAGATGTTTCCGAACTGCTGCCTCTAATTCTAAGCCTATCCATTGACGCCCATTTTCTAGTTTACGATGCCTAACAATTTTGGCTGACTTAATAAAATCGTTCTCACTTAATTTTAATTCGTCCTTGATATTCTGACGGTATAAGGCTGTTAGGAAGGCACGATCTTCCATAGAACCGGGTACGTCTTTTACAATTATACGGGGCCTACGGCCTTTCGGTTTTTCTAAGCGCAACCCTACTGATTTAATGGCGTCCACAGATTCCAGTTTCTTAAGCTGCCGTTCGTTAGCTACACGTAACACGACGCCTGCCTTAGAGGTTTTTTTAACGCCTACAATTTGAAATCCCTCATCGCTCGGTTTAATAGCCTTCTTGAGAGCTTGTTTTGTTGCTGACGAGGTCGCATAGTCCGCTAGGCGTTCCGTAGTGGGATAGGCAATGACACAAGGCCTAGGAACGCGCGCTTCAGTAGGTACCGGGCACGGAGCAGATTTAGGTGGTAAGCGAAGCTTAAGTTTGTCCGCGTACGTTAAACTCGTTTGTTGGGTTGCGATACCCTCCATTTGTCGCTCAAAATTCGCTAACTTCGTTTCGTTGCTAGAGGATTTTATTGCTAACAAAGATACGATACCGGTAATTCGTTGAGTAATATCCATAATCGCCGTTTTATTACCTACATTCATCCGAGATCCCTGATCATTAACTAATTCATTAATTTTTGCTAAATAATCAGTGGCCTGTGATACTAAGTCACAGTAGTTGTACTCCCCACAGTTATCACGACCAGTAGGAGACGAAACATTACTACTTAAGTCCGAATTAATAACGCGCCTACGGCTACTGTCTTTCGGCGAGAAACCAGTAGGTGACATTTCGATAAATGTCCTTTTCCCGGTTGGTGTTAGAAATTCACTTGTACCGCCGGGGTCCGGCAACTCGCTAACGACCGACATAGCCAAACAAAGACACACCAAACAACAATTTCAAAAGGAACAGGCTTAAAAATAAATAACACGCAGAGAAAAATCAATATAAACAAAGGATACCTCCTACCCACTTTTAGAAAGAAAATAAATTTACTCACCAATAGTCGTAATAAAATAATTCAGCACTATATTACTGTTTAAAAACGATAAAAACTTACTGACTTCCTTTAAAACACTATACACAACCTTTAGCCGCCCGCAAGCCGGAAACTAGTCGCAGAAAAAACAGAAAACAATATTTAAATTGTTAGCACATGAAGTCACACGTTAGTCGCACGGTGCCGCGAAGGGAAGTCGTGCTGTATCAACATCAGTCAACTCTCGGATTTTCCTTACTGCGTATGCTGCTGAGCTGAGTCTACTCGACAATTTATCAATATGTGGGCCCCACTGTAGCTTAGCATCTAGTGTTATACCTAAAAATGTCGTAGTGTCCACAAGGTCCAGCCCGACATCCTTAATTATCACAGTAGTTTTCACTGGCTTGACGTTTGGCATAGTGAAACGTATACACTTAGTTTTTTGTTCATTTAATAGTAAATTGTTGACATCAAACCAATGAACCACTTTCGAAATGGCGCTGTTTACAAATGTGAAATCAGAAAGTGTCCGTTTTAGTCTAAATAATAGTGATGTATCATCTGCTGATCAATAATGAGATTCTCTAAGTATTTGTGATATACGGCTATAAATATATAATAAATATACGGATATATATATCAATTTATAGCAGTTGAAATTTGTCAAATTCAACTGTGAACCGACTTAAAAAACGAGTAGGTTCAAAACTTCGTAATTTATAAACCTCACTTCTTATTTAAAAGGATCTTCTCATTTCGTCCCATTTAAATAACATAACATTTAGCCCCTAAGGGTGAAAAATACAGTTTATTACAATTCATCACGATGTAGGCGCATTGGAGTCGGTTCATACTTTTTAAAGTTAATTATCAAACATGCTTAAGGTAAGCAAGAAACCATATTTCGATATTTATATATTACATAACTAAAAACTAAAGACGTTAGTAACTCTGCTGACGGCTGACGTTTGAATATCTAATGTAAAATATTACCTTAGGTAAAACTGCATTATCAATGTCAACTTTGCAATTTAAATATTTATACAGATTGCAAGTATGTACCTACCTATTACAGTAAATGTGTTTTACTCTGTACATAGCTGCTGATGTGTTGTCAACATTGGTTGAGGTTCGGACTCAGCACTAGCAACCTCAAGGGATTGCATTTGTGTTTACGGATTATGTTGGCAACAGGATTGTCCATCGAAATGATGTTTATTTTCCAACTTATTGATTTTGTTTTACTTATTGTGATGGTGTCAACACGCAGGAGTCGAAATAGTTATTTAGAAACAATAAACTGCAAAGTTTTTTGTAACAATTGTAGTCAGATAGTAGTCATGAAACCTATCTAAATATTCTTCTCTATTATGTAGGTTCGAGCGGTCTGGGACAATGGGACGAAGATGGAGAGGACTTCTCATACAGCTCTTCCGACTGGGTACCAAGCGATGAGGAAACCGAGTCTTGCGATTCCGATGCAGAGGTAATAACGAACAATTAAAATTAAAGAGAACCTAAATTAAAGTAAATACACTAATCACAGCATCCTTTTTGAAAACTTCTTATTTAAAAAGGAAGCATCTTACTATCGTTACTGTTATGTTTTATATTTCGCCGTCTAATCCCTGTTGACTAAATATAAATCCTTTAAAAAAAAAAGGTTGAACCGATTTCAAACACTACTGACAAAGAGCACAAAAAATTGAAAAATAATTACAAATCTAAGTAATAAACTATAAGTACCCTCAATATAACAGGTAACATTATAATAGCAATAGTCCCTTCTAGTCTGTTATTGTTTTTACAGTTTGTAAATCGCTTTATATATTAGATTATTATTAAACCACGCGCGCTAACCGTATCAGATTTTGTAGGGAAAACTATATTATTATGTAATTTGTGCATGTAGGTAAATTTAAAAATATTTACTGTTGTATCTGACTCGGTTCAGAATCAGTTTATATATAAATCAGTTTTGTTCGGTCGATAAAGCAAGAGCCGCGAGCGCGATGGTACGACGCCAAGTGCAGCACGATCTTATGACACGGCTCAACCGGTTAAAACCACGGACAAACCGATTCAATTGGGTTCATGCCTAAACCGGTTTAAATCGGTTTGAAAAGTCGAGTCGTCACACCATTAGATACGACCCTATAATATTTTATTTAAATTAATATATAACAGATTTAGACAATAATTTTCACATTGAAATTGTGTATTACGAAAATTATAAACTGTAATTAGGTATTAAAATAGTTTATCGTAGGTATAGTAATTAAGATCACTGTTTATAGAAAAGGGAGTGTTAAAGTTTAGTAGATTTTTGTACTGAAATTGTAACTTAAATTTAATTTATAGGTTTGGGTAGGAAATCATATGTCAATACCAATTTTTTTTTGCTTTTTAGTTGCTGAGTATTTTTTCAAGGCGGTTTATTTTTATTTAAAAATAATTTATGAATCACTTGACTTACAACAATTAGGCACAGATTTTCGTCTCGTAAGAATACGCCCTTTTGCTCAAGTTTATGTATTACTGATTAATTTTGGTTTCTACCAATCTAAGAACTGAACATCAAATGATTAATCTTTTTAGTGAAATAAGTAATTATACTTCCATTCCTAAATGTGGCAGGTACTTATAGTACAATAATAATTAACAGTAAGGATACTTTTAACAAAACTTAAACCAAATGAATACTTTTACAGACGACGGCGAAAAAAAAGTGCTTGGAACGTTGTAAACGGCAGTATCCCAGACTGGATAGTAAGGGTATCAGTTCTTCGAATGTAGCCGTCACTGAATCAAGAAATGATCTAAACAGAAACCTTGAGATAGTAAAGGGAACACAGGCGGTCATAGATAAAATCAAGCAGACTTTGGAAATGCTGGCAGCATTACAAGAAGACCGCGGTTTTCGCACAATTTCGTTGCAGTCTGCAGAAAACGGGGACTCTGCAGAACTGACTTCCTTAATCGCACCTAATTTGACGGCATTTACGGCGGATAATGAATTACAAGGTTCATCCAACCAGCCGAATAGGTCATTAGATGAGTCCACGAGGAAGAAGAGAGAGAATATGGTTTTTAAAAAACCGTATAATAAGAAAGGTTTTGTAACTAATAAGAATACGGTTGGTGGTGAGAACGTGAAAGAAGAATGGGTAAGCATTGTTTATTATCTTTTATTTAAACTTAGGTAATGCACATGTTGCACAAAGGCAAACTTAATACCATGAGGCATTCTCTCCCTGTCGACCTTCAGGTGATATGATGCGTTAGGTGCAAAGATAATATATCAAAGGAGAATGCCCATTTCAGTATAAAATCAGTTTCACACTTTTTTGTATTATCTAAAATATTAACGTATATTGAAACAGAAATTGTGATTATTGAGAAATTAAATGTGCAAAACTGCAAATATTAATAACGAGAAAATATTGTGACACTGACCATAGTTTTTATTTCAATTTGGGTTTATGGCATCGTATTTTATTTGACAGGGATACTATGTATAAAGTAAGGCAAAACTAACACTGAAGTACACATTAACTTTAATAAACTACGACTACGAGTACTTACTTACACGAAATAATAAGATTATTCAACTGCAATTTATATAAATGTGATATTACGAATTATTATCACGTATACGTGAATTTAAAATTATTTAACTGTTTTAATTTATAACGATTTTTATTTGCATTCCACCATAAATAGTTTATTTTAGATAATGGAAACATTTAACCTCAAATGGAAACGGTAATTGATTCAAGTTTTTACCCTTGTAAGATTTCATTTCAAACCCTAAGTTTTATAGAAGAGATTCAGGGTTGAAAACTCACATTAAAATAAAAAATTTTAACATTTGAAAAAATGACGCGAACGTCTAAAAGTGAAACCATGAATGGGCATTCTCCTTTGTCATATTGCATAGTTTGGTAAATAAGAGACAAACCTACATAGATATAACTAAAATACATAAATTCATTACTACATATATTATTATAGTCACCTATGAGTCTAGAAGTATACACAATGCATACATACCATTTAAACATACACATACATAAATTTAATATTATATATAAAAATATTATAAATACACAGTCGGGTGCAAGCGTTGTGATAATGTTCTGTTCTGCCAATTATACTGGTTTTGTTTCTATACTTACACTAACACTTCTAGAGTACTAGTTAAATAGTCGATTTAAGAGCAAAAAAAGAGTGATAACATGAAATCAAAAGGGAAAATCATCGCAATTAATATCTTTGTTTTCATTTTCTATTTGTGTACGTTAGATTCTAAATAAAATTTATGTAAATACTATTTAAATAACAATTTATAAATTTAGAGACCAAAAATATCTTAATTTTACCGAGATCTTGAAAAGTGTGATATAATAATAATGGCGACCAGTCGTAATTCGTTTAGGGCGAAGGTGCGGGCTCTTCTTGACCGGAATGTAGCGGAATCATCACAAATATGATACTTTATGTATTATGGTATATATGTATGTGTATATATATAACACAATATATATGAATATGAATGTATGTATTCTTGTATGTATACGTTGGTATTTATATATTATTTCATTGCTTTTTGGTCAGTATTGCTATCATTACTTCTTTTATGTCCACTTTATAATTCTCAACCAAAGGGTAGTGCACCTCCACACTCATTTCCACACCACCCTAAAGTAGACTGGAAGAGAATGCCTATGGCATTAAGTCCGCCATTGTACTTATGTGCATAAAGTTGATAAATAAATAAATAATAATAATATTCTACTACAACGCCATCTAGCCCCAAACTAAGCAGAGCTATATTTGTTTACTGTTGGGTTCGGGTTTTATGTTTTATTGTTAATGAATCTATTGTTTAATGTCAGGGCGACACATGGTCATACACTGTTCTAGCTTTCCTTCATAAGGCTAACTTGGAAATACTTCCTAATTCCAAATTTAAAAAATAGAAATGCAATGCTCACTTAATGTTTTTTAATATCAATTGCATTTTAGGTTCCAATTGGAAGCGGCTTAACGCTGATACCCCGAGAAAAATACAAGAGAATAAACTGGAAGTCCTATACTATTGCAACACGATCATTGCTGGTGGCTGTATTTCCCAGAAGGTAAAGTTCCCTTATCTCATTCTTTAAATATTTAAATTCAATACTATATGGGGTGAAGGATTGGATGACTTTGAACGTAATATTAATTTATACTATCATTATAATAGGGCAGGAAATGCTTTTTCTTATTTTAGATGAATAAAATTGGAGATAAAAAGTCGTCTTTACAAAGGACGACTTTTTATCTCCAATTTTGAACAAATTCAATTTCAAATTCCAATTTTGAGAGGCTCATGTCCAATAGTGAACTGTTAAAGGATGAAGATGAAAATTGAAGAAAAAATTTTTCGCTTGTTCTTTTTGTAATTGACTGGATCTAATATCAATAAAGAAAAAAGCCAAAAGGGGTGAATCTAACGAACAAATTCGATACATTCTAAAGTATTATTAGAAAAAGGAAATATGCGACAGTATCAATATGAGCAGCACAAAGTTTGTTTAAGCGTTTTGTGTCCGGGAATTTTGATGTCAACGATACAGCTTGCTCTGGTTCGTGTGAGGATACAGATTAGGCGATGCCATTTTTAGATAGTGGAGCCAGATCGGCATATAGTTATTTGTATATAACCGAGGAAGTGAGGATTGATCACAAAACAGTTAGACCCATTTTAAAGAGTCTGGCTATTTAAAAAGCGCGACATTTTTGTGCTACATGAGCTTACTGAACTAAAAGAAACCTAATGAATTGTGTTCTCATTTGAGATTCTTGGTTTGTAAAACAGAGCCATTTTTGAGAAGACTGATCAAAGGTAAACTCCACAGACTGCAGCGAAACCCGGATTAATACGCAATGAGGTGATGCTGTGTGTATGGTGTTATTGAAATGACATCAAGTGATCTTTCCTTATGCCACACACAAACTCCTCCACAGTGTTGATACCAAACAAGCTCCACCTTAAGTCCTGAGCTTGCCCCCTCAGGTTTTCATCTGTTTCGGTCTCTTTAGAATTCTTTGGGTAGTATTAGGTTCTTTATTACGTTTTCGTTGCAGAGATACATTTGTGTTAGGAGCCAACAAATTCCATTCTTAATCTAGATCCTAGTAATTCAGCTTGCCTAATTGATAAATCTAAATCTCGTATCAAATCATTCAATTCATTTTGACTTATCAGATGTGGACGGACTGACGGATGAAGAGAACTTGTTGAAGTAAAAACTCAGGATATTCGCCATATATCTTCCGTCATTATATTCTACAACATTTCTCTGTTCAATCAAATCTGGCTCTTCTGAAATCTCAGTTACATTTTTGAAGGGAGGTAAAGGAGGAGGCATTTCTTCACTGTGAGGTCAGTTCGTCAGTACTCAGGTACTCAGGCAACGTCAGGATACTTGATTTCTCTTAAAAAGACAACTCCCGCATTAGAAATATATCCTATGTCGCGGGGGACTTTACAAACATACGTGAAACGGACACAAAGAACTCCCACACTCAGAACAACAATTAGTGGATCACACAAAGTGTCGTCCCATGTGGGGTTTGAACCCACAACACTCGACGTAGTAGGTAGCGGCGTGGCGACCCCTTAAACCACTACGCCATCCGTGCAGTCAAATGATGTTGTGCTGTCATGCAAAAGTAGCAATCATTAAAATGACGGCAAATGGCATTGACGTCTTGTTCCCATTTAACCAAGATATGAGAGTAGCATAGCACGAAACACAAAAAACTTTGGTATCCTTGGTTTATCTTGACTAATAGCACGTTCAAAATAGAGTAAATTTGCACTACTCACTTTTTCGGAAACATTTTTTGTTTGTGATTTCACAATATACTTTCCGCAAACGTAACAAAACTTATTTGGTGCATTTAAGCAGTTGTGAAGACCACTTAGTAAAATATTCATATTGGATTTTCAAATAAATATATACAAAGATGTCTACGTTATCGAATAGAAACGATTACTCAACAAAACAAAATAAAAAAGTACAATACATGGAAAACAACCTAAAGTGAGGGCAGTAGAAATAATAATTGACATGTACCTCGAGTACTAAATGTGATGGATACCATTACCTATTCCTACTCATTTCAGTTAACAGTTAAGAGGGTACCAAAATTGTGTAACGCAGGGTAATTTAAGTTGTCTGATCCGCAAGGAGCCAACGCCTGAGTGCCACCACTGCGATGGCCAGACCGTGGACAAGGCTCTCCACACGCTGGCAGAAAGCCCGGCGTGGGTTAAGCAAAGGCGAGACCTCGTGGAGGCCATCGGAGTGGGAGTTCTCTCGCTCGATAGCCTGATTGCATCTATCGTGCGTGCGTGGAACTCTGCCTTTTTCTTCTGCGAGCAAGTTAAGCTCGCGAAAGAGACGGCGGAGCGGGACCGGGAGAGGTTTAGAAGTCTCCCGGCCCGCCAGGCTCGGGAACGGGCCAGGTACCGCAGGCGACTCAGGCGCCGGAGGTCGCAGAACGACCTCCGTCCTTCATAAGCGCAGGCCTGGGGGTGACAGGTGAAGCCATCTGTCACCCTAGCAGAAGCAGGCCGGGGTGGCGGCATGCCACCGATAGGATTCCGAGGGGAAAAAAAAAAGGGTAATTTAAGTAAACAAGTCGAGCTGTATCAACAATCAGTCATTTCTCGAATTCTTCTTACTGCGTATGACGCTGAGCTAAGTCTACTCGATAATATAATTTATCTTCTAAAGGAAACTAAGAAACTTTTCCCCGAGCTTATATTACGATACTATGTTTAATTCTAGTTGCTAATACTTATGAATAGCTCGTTATTACATAGTTTTTAATTTACTTTATGTTCTTTATGCTGTTGGTGGTCCGAATAAAATCAAAAAATCAAAAGTAACTTAATATGGTGAATTTCTAGGGTTCTAGCGACGCACTCGCTGACCGGTAAAGCGTCACCTGCGTTTCAAGACAAGCCAGCTAAGATGAGTTTAGATCAAAGAAAAACTGCCGATGTGATCGCAGAAGTTGTGGACAGATTCAAAGTACGCGAAAATTTAGTTAGGTAAGTACAATAATGAAAAAGTTTCAGCGCAGATATACCTAGTCTTGCTATAAACATTGTTGCAAGGAAAAATATTTTTTGTTTCTATTTCATAAAACATTTATTACTGTCATGTGAGTTAGTATATACATTAATATAATAAGCATTAAAAATAAGCTCATTCAAAATGATCTCTATTGGCTTAATAAACGTTGAGGCCAGTTATTTATTAATAGAAACATGCACTCTCTCCACAAGAAAATTCTTCATTGCTAAACTTATAAATTGTTTTAAGGACTCCAAATTATCATAGCGGTTAGAGGATGTCATTCTCTCTTAAACCGATCTTAAATCATATTTCAGCAAGATCGGGACTAAGTGACGGTCAGTCTTCAGCTCTGATAAAATAAAAAATATTCGTTTCCAATAAAAGAAGCATTTTTGGTTTTCGGTCATGGTAAGAAAGAGGCTTAACCTCCTTCTCAAAAATCGTATCTTGATACACTTGTACCAGTGTTTGGATATCTATTTCACAAAAATATGGATCATTCGGACAGGATTTCTTCGAATTTCATTTTTTCATTCACAGCTTTGATCGCCTTTTTCGTACGAATACTATTTGGATGGCCAGATCTTTTTTTTTATGGAAGAGGGGGCAGACGAGCAGACGGATCACCTAATGGAAAGTGACTACCGCCGCCCATGAAGGCCTGTAACTCAGGAGTCACAAACGCGTTGGAAGCCGGCCTTTTAGGAAGGAGTACGCTTTTATCTTTACGGTCGTATCTATCCAACAGTTATACGTAGATCCGAACAGGCCGACGGCTCACAATGCAGCTCGTTTTTATAGGACGCATTGTTCGCGCACGTGTTTACATGTTGTTAGGTTGAGTGTTGTATTTTCTTGTTGTGTACGTTTTTTTAGGGTATTTAATTAACACTAACTTATTTTACTAACGAATTTGACTTCAGCAGCAGACAAACTATTTTAGTGGAAAAACAAGAAATAAGAGGTATTTCTTGTTTTTCCACTAAAATAGTTTTTACCTGTTTTTTGCAATAAACCGGTTTTTTCCCACCTGTTTGATTTTTTTTTTCTATAACTTGCCACGGAACGATTTTTTCCATAGTACTTTTTTATAAAACTAATACTTTTACCAGAATTATCCAGTTAAAAAACCAGCCTGTTTTTTTATATGAATTTATTTTGAGCCGCGTATCCTGTACTATGGCAGATTACATCCTTTTCACTAATACTAAACCAAACCAAAATATTACATTTTCATAATTATCATTTTACAGGAGCATCATAACAACGAAATGTGCAGACGAATGTAAAATGTGGAAAACCCGATGTAAGAACACTTCAAAAACCAAAGAGACCACAGACACCGTACAGTGACTCTTTTTGCTCTCAGTATTTATCGAGTGCCCACATAAGAGGCTGTAAGAATCTTTACTTAAAATGGCAAAAAGTTTATATATGCAGTACAAGAAATGAGATGGAGATGAGTCTATAATCTGTAAGGCGGAATACTGTCACAATTACGGCTACGCTTAAACGTTTCCAGTGTGAGTTAATTTCACATCAACTCAACGCTAAACGCGCTCGCCATCGAGAGCAAGTCGATGTGAAATAAATTTGCACTCGGCCCTCTGTAGTGTTATTCTGTAAGAACGTTTAGATATCTCGAGAGCTGAATCCGCAATGAGATTTTAAATTCGCATTCTGTAAATTAAAACATGTATGTGCTTACAATATATATATATATATATGACTGTAATTACCATATTATAAGCTAGATTTGTGCAATTGATTGATTTGTGCAATAAATACAATGCAGTGTAGTTTAATATAATATAATTTCCAAAGTAGTTATAAGTTACTATTAATTTTTATTTAAAAAAAAAATATTTTAAATAAAATAAATTATTTAAAATAAATAAAAATAAAAAATTTAAACATTTCTTCGTATCTTTTATTGTTTGACTTGGCTGTTGGTTAGTAAACCTGACTGCTAAGAAATATGTTTTGTTCTATGTCTGGGTACTATTTAACAATAATATGTATGTATTTAGTTTTTTTCTTTATATTATAACGAAGATCTTTATCGCTCATATAATGCGTATACGCTCTGAACGGATGGTAGCTGGACCGAAAAATGTGTAACAAGACTTTTTTTAGGCACTTTTTGCTATAGTACTCACACACTTGCTTAGATCTCTTAAACTAAGCAACGGATTTTAATGCCAATATAGAGAGTGATTCAAGAGGAAGGTTTATATGTATAAACATGCATATTATAGTAGAGAAAAACCGAGAATGTCAAAAATTTGTAATAAAAAATATGTTTTTGTGCGTTTACATTGCAAACGCTGGCTTAGCCTTACGAGATAGACCAAAATAATGTACTATGGAATAGTATATTTTAAAAAGATCTACAAAAAAAGCCGCGATGGTATGTCTATCTCCTAAGGATGCACCACAGTAACCATTTTTAACTTTTAAATTTCACAAAAAAAAATACGAAACTGTTTTAAAAACATTATTACTTTATCGAATTAAATACGTAAGATACGTTGTGCATTTAACGTAGATTAAAATTACAGTAGGTACAATACAATTATATTTTGGTTAGTTACAAAATTAAATTTTAGGCAAATAGCCGTATCGTGCACAAATTAGTTACGTGTAAAGCCCGATGGAACTATCTGTCCGTGTACGGCGTCGAGTAATCGCGTGGGGGTTGAGGCAATGGAAGTACCGTTTCAGTCTTTTTACTCGGTGTTTTCTGACTATCCATCCTAATAGTTGTGCTCGCGGATTTGAATCATTAATTAACTCCTAGATTAACTATTTTTAAGTAGCAGTATTTTTTAATTTTTAAGTGCACCTACCGACTATTACTTTTTCCAAAATATAGACAACTTTTTAGTGGGTAAAAAATTCAATTCCCGAGAGGCAGTACAAAATGCCTTTGAAGAGTTTGTTGCCTCCTGTCCAGCTGATTTTAACAAGAAGGGCATCAATTAACTGCCAATGCGTTGGCAAAGATGCGTCGATTGCATGGGTGATTACTTCGAATAACAGAAATAAAAAAGTTTGAAAAAATAAGTACTTTCACTTATTGCATACAAAACGGCAATTTCATAGGTAAAGACCTAATATTTGACCAAGTTCATATCAAATGTTTTGTAGATGCCAACTTTATACTTAAATTTATTTATTTTCTATCTTAGATTCAATTTCCGGGTCAAACAGACTATTACCATACCCACCGTTTATTACTAGACGTCGACGTAGAACATCTGTTGCGCAACAGACAGTCTCCAAGCTGCAAGAGCTGGGGTTGGAAGCTCTCCCTCATCCGCCATACTCGATTGTAAACCGACTATGTCATCGAAAGAGTATGCTTACGAGGTGGTCCCATTACTACCAAATCAGGATCTGATGATGGGATCCTAAAGAAATAGAGGGAAACCCTCAAATTTTACAGCCCCGACAACGTGTTATAGCCTTTTTATGTAGCTTTATAGGCTATATATTTTCTAGCTATATTTATATTTGCGTTTAGTAGTCGTTATATCATGTTGCTGAGCTGATGATGGAAAGATCCTTGACGTTTAGGAGTTAGAAAATAACTCGTTTCAAAATCCAGATCAATTGCGTGCGCAATGTTATCAACTACTTAATGAGTAATCCACTTTAGCTCGTTCAGCATGTTTGCACAGCATGAAGACTTTGGCAGATGCCGCGCTACATTCTACCAAGCATATCAAGCACCTATTTGGCTTGGCACCGACTTTAAACAGACTAGAAGGGACTATTGCTATTATAATGTTACCTGTTACATTGAGAGTACTTATTATAGTTGTTTTACTTGGATTTGTAATTAACTTTACTTTCTTACTAACTAACTGAAATTAAATTACCTTTCTGCATCTAAAAGAATGTGTACACGATAAAAGGATATTATTAAGATACATTTCTGTAGTAGATTGTGCAGAAAACTCGTTCACTCGCCCCACTGTTAGGAATAAGTTACTTCTTGTAAATTCTTATGATAAGGTCTCGATGTTGGTGTACAAATAAAAAAGCGGACTGTGTTTTACGCTGGTTTGTAATATCAGCAAATAGGTACGTCGCACAGGTAATCGCGATGGTAGTGGGGTCGTGGAGCCGTGCACCCCCGCACCTCCCCCCTTGACTCTCCATCTCCGGAGCAAGCCGGAGCTTTGGCTGGTTGAAAGCACCAGAGGATTGATTCTCGACTATTAATTTACACGAAATAAAACAATAATCCTAAAATAATTAAGCTTCAAATTAATCGAATTTAATTTGTAAAACTTGCTTCTTTTCACGTAGGTACAGGTAGGTTATTAGCTACTAATAAAAGTATCTGTTCAGTACTCAAGCACCAATTGCCTATTTCTTTAGAAACTTTACACCAAGCTTCTCCGTGATGCGGCTCAGCGGTTTTACATCGAGTTTTGACTTCCTCCTGCTGCTGTTCAGTGCCGTGTAATAACTCGAATTTGTAGAAATATGCCCAAGCGTCTCCTAAATCTGGGTCTATTTTCACCTGCAAATAAATTTAAAGATTTATATTTGGATGAAGCAGTTACCTTAATTTATAAGTCTCACTCGCTTAACCTGAAGTTACATTGGCCACAGCACACTTTTAGAATGTATTTCACATGTATAGGGAAGGTATGATTATCGAAACACAAAAAAATAAATCGAGAAAAAGTTGTTCAATATATAATTATGTATCAGCCTGTGATCACGGCAATTGCAACCTGATCGAAACGTCAGGCACTAAGGTATCCTATTATATATTATTATTGAATGCAATATAGTTTAAAAAAATATTTAGGTTGTTTCATGTTAGAAGAACAAGTCAGAATCTTGCTACAAACTTGCTGGAAAACGGTTTGGTATTTTTTCAAACTAAGACTCAAAAGTGAACCCAAAAATAGAATAAACTTAAACCACCCATATCTTTGAGTTGTGTTGTTACTTGTGCGGAGGTGCAATATCTGTTCATTCTTATTTCCAGACTTCACACATTTCACATTGTCAAATTAGATAGATACCATCAGCTATTCAGGTCATCATTGTTTCCAAGCAAATTCAGAGTTGCTGCCTAACAAGATACCTACAATAGGTATTTTTAAGGCTGCTTCTAAGAAAACTAGGATGGGACTGCTTACCGTTCTGTTGAACCACTCGCGACACTTGTTTATTTTCCTTTCTGTCCAAAACAGCTGAGATACCGCTAGCAGTACGTAAGCGTCATGCTCGCACTTTTTCAATGCATCCACCTGTCAGACATATCACATTACGTTACAACACGTAATCGTAAAACAAATACGTTTAGCTCCTACAAAAAAAAAGTTTTTTCGTCGGAGCTTTAGTATTCGCTCCAGACGCGAAAACCTGGTTTTTACCATTTTTTACATTTTTTTGGCACCTTAGCTGACAATATTTTTTTATTATTTTTATTGCAACCAATTTCTGATAGTTTAATCTTTAATAAAACATTATTTTTCTTTCCAATAGGAATTTTCCAGATTTTTTTCGCTGATTCTAATTGTCTGTTTCTTCTCTGGGCTAGTCCAGTTAGAAAAGGCCGAACTCATCTACTCTAAAAAAGTTTGACATGCAAAAGTGTTCTCATAACCTTTTTGCAGAATAAACCATTTCATTTTAATTCAAAATTGAATTTCATTTCATTTCCTGAGGGATGAAAAGTTTACTTTTACGCGAGCGAAGCCGCGTGTTGTATACAAAAAGAATAATACTTACACTTTTTGTCTTCCTTTGAGGTCTCGACTCCATGAAGATAGCCTCGGCCCAGAGCCGTCCGGCGTTGGGACACTCCTGCAACGCTTTGGCCATCAGGGCGTTGGCGATCTCCGCGCTGCCGTTGCGTCTTTCAAGCCGCACACTCTCAAGCCTGAGTAATAAATTACCAGTTTAAAACTATATAAACATAATTTTTATATCTGTATATCGTCTGTTGATACAGTCATAATACAATATACAAATGTTGGTAAATTAGCAGCCAGACACAAAAAATATGCCTATCTGATATTCTTTATAAACTTAAGGTGCCAAGGTCTGGTCCAAAAAACGTGCATTTTCATAATGGAATGACTGTAACTTTTTAATTTATTTTTAAGCTACGAGTTCGTTTTGTAGTTGGAGGTTTAATATACACACCAAACCTCGATCAATGCCAAACATAAGTAGCCTAACGTGTACCAGTCCCACACACACACGCGCACACAGATACAAGTTATCTTATATTTTTATGTTTGGATGGTTGACATTTATAACTAACCATAACTCTGGGTTCTTGGGATTTCTAAGTCTGGCTTTCTCTAAAACTGATCTAGCCTTAGTAACATTCTGGAGTTTCTCTTCTAGCCTCGACTGCAAAATCCACATTGCTACACTGGTGGCACATTTTTTGAGCTGAAACGATATATTTATTATTAAATAGTAGCACATACACATATATTTAATATAATAATATTCTACCACATTTACACAACGCCATCTAGTCCCAAACTAAGCAAAGCTTGTATTATAGCTACTAGACAACTGATTAAAAATCAATATTTACTTTTTTTGGTAAATACATACATATTATAGATAGAAACATCCAGACCAAATCAAACATTAAATGTTCATGCACACAAATGTTTCACATGAGCTGGAATCGAACCCGCGACCTTTGGAATAGCAGTCTGTTACAACAACAACCATAGCTTTCGTTTTCATTAAGACCTCCGTATAAAGTTACGGTCAGAAAAAAAGTTTTTAATACATATAATATCTAACAAGTTGTGATGCATAAGAGAAAAAAAAATAGATGATCATACCCCTTGCGAGTAAGTGTTTCTCGCTTCTTCGTCGTTGTTCATTTGTTCCTCAATCTGTCCCTTCATCATGTGTAACTTGGCGTAGTCGCCGAACACTCTAATCGCCTCTTCTAACAACGTCAACGCGACGTCTAAGTTATTCAGGGCCCATTCCAGTTTTGCTGATTTTATCATTACCTGCACGGAGACTTGATACTTTTTATTTTATCCTTTTAAGGCTTATGTTTTTTTTCCCCACGGGGAGTGGGGAGAAAAACATCAGTTAAACTTAACATACAAACAAAGACAAACACCCTCTAGTCATAGTAGGTGTTTGTTGACCACAAATGCTGAAAAGATGATGGGAAGAAAGTCGCTAGCTGGAACCGGATACGAAGAGCGCAACACAGAAAGGTAGGAGAATGTTGAAGGAGGTCTACAAAATATTGGTCACAAAAGACTGAAGAAGCAACTTATGAAGTTAGTTGATACAATAGGTTATTCTACTGTGTTCGAATAAGTACTTAAAAATGTTGATTTTCTTAATAAAAGACATTTTTTTTGCCATAATATTTAATTAAATTTTAAACCTTTTTTATTCCCGAGAAAACGCTGTCAGCCATTTTGGTGACGTCATATTGGAAAAAACAACAGAACTTGAACTCATTCAACGTTAACAGCTATAAATATTTGGTGTTTTTATGGGCAAATAATGAATCACAATCGCTATCGTTGGTGTGTAGTGTCTAGTTTTACAAATACTAGCATTAAAACTCCAAAAAAGTTGTTTATCAAAGTGCCAGATGATATTGAAATGAAGAATATTTGGTTGGAACTCGCAAAACGAGATCCTAAGTCATTATCAAGTAAAAGTCGATTGTATTTATGTGAGGATCATTTCAATGTAAGTAAAACCCCCTAATTAAAATCTAATAATACTTTGCCGTTTTTCCTGTTCATGTATAAATAAAGTTGATGGTAAGATAACCTACAATTACTATGAACGCCACCAACAAATTAGTAATTAATGCATATTATTTCAGTTGGAACAAGATACCCATCCAGATTTTAATACACTTTCCAATATTTTTTTACTAATTATGAGAGAGATAATTATACTGAGATGTTTTAAAATTCCGGAACTCGGCAGAACAGAAGTCTGGAGTACATGCAAGGAACTTTGTAACTATCATTCAATCAATTTTTGGCAGACTCGTACTATCTGCTTTTACAAAACCGGTTTGCATTTTAATAAATAAATAGGTACAAATAAAATGCACTGACGAAAGAACACAATTATTACTTCTTGAAGTTAAAGTTTTTGCCTATATGACGTCACAACATGGCGGCTCGTGTTTTAGGTCACGTGATATACAGATTAATAATTACGACTTTTAATTTTAATGTAATAAAACAATAATGTGCTTTTATGACTCAAAATCAGAATATTTAAGTATATTTCTACATCATTTTTATCATATTTCATAATTTATTTTCACTACCGAAATTACCCTATGCGGCATGTGCGTCTTCTAATGAAGCATCCTGGACATTTTGGAGCTAAGCGACAGTTAAAGCACGTATAATGTATATTTTTTTACATTTTACATTAAGATCAAAACGCATTCGAAAATTGTGAATACAAAGAAACATACACCTATTACTTTATTTGATTAATGATAATCTATACTAATATTATAAAGCTGAAGAGTTTGTTTGTTTGTTTGTTTGAACGCGCTAATCTCAGAACTACTGCTCCGATTTGAAAAATTCTTTCAGTTTTAGATAGCTTATTTATCGAGGAAGGCTATAGGCTATATATCATCACGCTAAGACCAATAGGAGCGGAGCACCAATGAAGAATGTTTCAAAAAACGGAGAAAATTTATTACTATTGAGAGATGCAGACGAAGTTGCGCGGGTCAGCTAGTATTAAATATAGTATTAACATAATTGAGCTTTACTTTTTGTTTTTTAACAAAACAGGTATAAGGACAAGTAATTTTACTTCAGCTATTCCAAACATATGTTGATGATGTGAAATGGAATTTTCTTTTACATTGAACTATTTAGGAAACCGAGATAAAATATTTCTAATCGGTTGGCTGTGAGGAGAGGGATAAAAAGGATACAATCGCTTTTACGTAATTAATTCACGGATCCTATGTGAACTAAGAGCTAAGCCCAGCGCCTTATATAAGGCTAGGAGTAAATTTATAAGGATTAGAATGTTTCGAAAAAACGGCCTGTCTTACTTTCCATATTAAATCTGCTACCGATTGAAGTATTTAAAATCCCTTAAGCACTCAAATATGCAAAATGGATTCAGGTTTTATTATTGAACTTAAAATTAGAAAAAAAAGTAATGCTGACCCTCGGTGTTGGGGCTGACGCCCGAGCTTTGGACAGTAATCGTCTCGCTCTATCGTACTCTCTGTTTTCACTTTCAAGCTTGACGGCCGCCAACCAGATCTCTTCAGAATTGGGATTCGCTTGGAAAGCTAGCGACAGGATGCCTCGAGCCGCCGGTACGTCACCTAGCGTTAGAAACAAAACACCTTAATAAACTAAAAAATATTTATAATTAATATGTAAACAGGGTATAACAGAAAATTGTAGTAATATTTTCGGGCCGTATAATAGACCCTGTAAATAACTTCATCATCATCAACAGCCTCTAATAGTCCACTGCTGGACATAGGTCTCTTCTTACGATGGAGGTTTTGGCTTACTATAGCACGCTGGCCAGATAATAACTTAGTCTAACAATTTTAGAAAACAATCTAACCAAAACAGAAGTGACTTTTAAAATTGAATTTTTAATTTGAAACTACTAAATCAAATTGAACATGGTTGTTATAACCACAATAAAGTTAATAATTCCTAGAAAAATAATATGAAGGAGGTGATTAAAACCATTTTTAATGACCATATAAATAACTAAGAAATAAAAAAAATATCATTTGGCTACACATAACGTAACTATTAAAACGTCAGCCAGTTGAATGGTTTAACGTACGGATTGCACGATCGTGTTACTTCAGAGGGTTCAGACTTCCCGACTTATTGCTTATTTGACCGTGAGAGAGCTATGCCCCCCCCTCCCGCTTCCCCACCATAAAAAAACTACTCTCCAAGCTATCCCAATATACAATATCCTCTTCCTACCATTGCTTTCCCATCTTACCAACATTTCCTGCGACAGAGCGACATACCTGCCATCCACTTAGACTTGGCACCCATGAGCCACAAAACTTCAGACTTGGGACAATGCGCCACCGCTCTCTGTAACAAAGCTTCCAAACTGGCCCTTGTGCCGTGTTGCTTCTCTAAGTAGGCCGCCCGCAGCCATATTGACTTCTTCGAAGGGAACACGGACAGAGCGTACCCGTACACTGCGCGGGCGCATTCGTACGCGCCTTCATTTGCACACTACGAATTAACACATATTTTAATACATAAGTATTTTTTAGGGCTTCTATAAAAAAAAAAAACATTATTTAAGCCTTTTAATTAGCAACATAGGCACAGATAAAACAATATTTTTATTCTAAACCTTAACAGTATTCGCTTCCCAAGGTAAGTCAACCACAAATATTGTTAAAAAAAAACTTGAGAATTCGTGCATAGTACAACTGCCATTATGTATAAATTACCAAATCCCTATAAAAGATTAAAAGAAAACAGGTTGACACCTAAATAGAGGAAAGAAAGTACTCAACTGTTTTGTAACCTATATAGTAAATATCATCCGTGACTTCACGTAAGCATAAGAAAAAATACTTAGGTACAAACACAAAATCCTTAATTTGTAAATATGTTTTTAAAGAAATTGTATTTTATAATTATATTGCCGTTCTTAAATTGACAGCGACTTGTAAATTGGCGACATATCGAGACCACTAAATATTACATACTAAAAACGAGCCACGCCCAATGTAGGGTTCCGTAATTACCTATCACAGTAATGCGAACCAATACGTAACTAACTAACTTTTGGATAAAGAATATTTTTGGCATGATACGCTAAAAAAGAACAAAGTGACCCTCCTCCGGTTAAATGCATTCTGCTGTCAACATTCACTTTAGAATATTCATCATGGTGCAAGATGAAAGTGTTGTCTGCGCTGGTGTGGTCTTGCCCACAACCTTCTACTATCAAACTTTTGACGAAAGCAGGATTTGAAAACTGCACAAACTTATTTTCTCTCAATACTTTACTGAACTAAAATTTTGCACCCAGTTCAAAAATAGCAGCATTGCCCTTCAGGTAGTAATTCTCATTTTTTTTTAATTCAATAAGATTTAGTTCTCTTCCTATTTTGAGATGGTCTTTGTTATTGTCTGGTCTATGTAAGTAAGTGTGTACTATTTTCTTTTCTTCGTTTATTGTTTGGTTATGCTTTGTTATTTCATATATTATTATAAACATTTCACATGAACGGTTTCGGCGGCCTATGACGCCGAAGTAGTTGGTCGAATATAACTAGTAAACTAATAAGGCCTACTTAGCTCCTACCGTGAATTTTTTCAAATCTCAAAATACTGCCGTTTTTTAGCTAGGATTGGAGAGGGACACTTGACTGTAGGAAAAATCAGCCCTTTAAGGCTTCATATCTCACAAACAGATCATCATCATCAACAGCCCTTAACAGTCCACTGCTGGACATAGGCCTCTCCTTACAAACGGATACCTTAATCAAAATATTGTCTTCACAGCCACTTATGATTTATAAAAGACCTATCCAATGACATCCCACATCATGGGATGAATGAATATAAAAAAATAACATCCCCACTTTAAAGGTACTAGAAGTACACTAAAATAAATATTTTTTAAGATTTTATTTGACCACTTTATCGGCGTGTATGTTCATGCGAAATGACAGGCTTCTACCACCGTGTGAGATATTGTGGACAGACGGACGGACGTGACGAAAATATAAGGGTTTTTGCCATTTTGGCTATGGAACCCTAAAAAAGCAAAGAAGTATTAGAAGTGATAATTAATAGAAGTTTTCATTACAGTAAATTTAGGACAATATCTTCTTGAGTTAAGCTTTCTTGAGTTAAGGTCCCTTCATATGTCTCCGACCTTTAAACCTCGTGGTCGATAAATATCATATCATCTTCCAACATCGTACCAGAACGAAACAATTTGTTTTACTACCTACTTTAAGCTGTCGTTGTGAAGTAAAAATTTTGTACCCTATTCGTAATTTGACATTGGAAACCTGAAGTACTGAATCTTATGTCCTTAACAAAAAACCAAGAACTTTCTCCTAGTTGTGAAAAACAGTTTAGTCTATCAGGTCCCATAAAGAAATAAGAGGACCATATTATTGCTGGAAATACTTACAGCTTCTGCATCTTCCATCCAAGTGTGTTTTTGATCTTCAGGTTCAATTCCATGTCCAATTACAGCACGGATAATTGCCTGCGAAAAGGAATATGTGGTTTCAGGAATATTTTACTTTAGTACCACAATCACTTTGCATTTATATAAGACACCATTAAGTTGTTTTTAGCAAGAAGTTTATGTTGATAGTATAACTTTACAATCTGGAATAAAGACGTATAAAAACTAAACCAGATCTAGTGCAATATTTCCACCACACAATGTTGTACTAAAGGCCCATATAAGCCAATAAATCTTTCGTTCAACAAATTTATGTATAAGTCAGTACTTAACTAGTTTAGTTTAGTTGCTTGACGGCAACTTCGTGCGCTCTAAACACTTATTTATAGTTTTATATACTTAATTTTTAATTGATTTTAAATATACCATCGCGGCAATTTAACTCAAATTGATTGAAAATTGATTTTCAAATGTAAATTAACAATCAAATTACAGTTTTGAAAGTAGCTTGTTTTAATCTATCTAATTATTAGATACTTAAAGAAACAAGAAGATTTATGCAATGCTTTGTTTGTCATTATTTCTTAGCAGACTGACTGACAGATTCCTAAATACCAGATATTGATTGAAAAATTTAAAGATTGGTCTATATCTATGGATACCTAATTATATCAGTCAATTTATCACTTGAACAAAAACCATTTGTGTATTAAAGTTAGTGAATATTTCTTAGGTTAGCGATATATGTTTATCACAGCGTCTACCCATACCCTCTGTAGCATCCTTTACATATTGCAGAATTAAAGGTACTCGGTGGTAATGCTGGATTCTACAGATAATGACACTAAAATTTTTATATCCTAATAAAAACTATGTGTTTAAGCATCACCTGACAAGTATGAACAGCACCAGACTTCTCAGCTTCCATAGCTTCTTTGAACCAGTGCTCGCGGTTTATTTCAACACCATTGGCGCTCAGTGAGGTTATCGCTCGGTCAATGATCTTTTCTACCATATGTGTGTTGCCTATAAAATATTAGAAAAGAGATTCAGTACAAGGATTCCTTAAAAACTAAATAATCTTTGTCCGTAAGATTACTGATGATCAAAGAGATATTTGACAGCAAATGGGACCTCTCTCGTTTTGGTCCCCTAAAATTTATATTATGTTCAACTATTCCAACTATTATAACAACGTTCAACTATTATACACAGACTAATCTATTACCTCAGATAAATCATCAGCATCGACAGCCTTTAATAGTCCACTGCTGGACATAGGCTTCTCCTTAGAAAGGAGGTTTTAGCCTACTAAACCATGCTGGAAAGACGGGTTGGCATAGGGTTTTTGCCATGTTTTCCTTGTCTATGCAGCGCTGTTGTCCTTGATAGTTTGCTCCCTTAGTCCCCTCTTACGACACCCACGAGATGAACAGGGGTGTTAACACTCTGTATTCTTAATTCGTTACCACACAGACATACGTCGGATACGTACGGACGGATATAAGTATATGTTATAAAAGTAAAGAAGACCCTCATATTAATGTTAATGGTACTAATGTTAATAAATTTAATGGCTAACATGGTAAGGAACATTCCTTTCACAAATAACAAACAATAAACACAACAATAGCAAAAAAATGTCGCATGAAATTAAAAACTACTCCTTTTTTATACTCAGGTTCATAATGGGAACAAAATAATTTTAAAACGGTAACCGTTTACAATCAGGCTAGACTAGAGTTGGTTGTTTGCCAACGACATGAAATAAAAAAAGTGTGAGTGATATACGGCACTTCAAACATCTTACCGTGAGCCTCTTCTAGTTTAGCAGCAGTCACCCAAATCTGCCTGTCAGTAGGTATATTCTCTCGTGCTTTATTTAGCACTTTTCTTGCATTCTCGTAGGTTTCGAGTCTTGCTAACGCGAGCCAGAGCTCTACACTTGTAGGACAACACTCCACGGCTCTTGAAAGTAAGATACGAGCGTCTTCCGGGTTCTCGAGCTCCACGGCTGCCTTCCATAAACGGACTGAGTTGGGTATGTGTTCAAGAGCTTTGCGATAGACACGCCGCTTTGCCTATACGTAACGAATTAAAAAAACTGCTTAATTAACATAAACTATATTTCACTAGAAATGTACTCTACCATAGAACCGCGATAACCGATATAAACGCGGGCAGAGCCGCGAGCAATAGCTAGTTTATAATACAAGTATTGGATCAGAATTTACAGAGGTAGTGTTACCTTGACTTCCTGTTCTAAGTCTGCCGCTTTCACCCATATCCTGACACTGTGCGGCAGATTTCTGGCAGCGTGAGCGATGACCGCACGCGCGGTGTCTCGAGGCTGTAACCGGGCTGCTTCCAGCCATAGCTCTTCACTGCTCGGGTTTACTTCGCAACCTTTCATTATAAGGTTACGTGCTGATTGGACCTTCCCTAAAAGTTAAATGGAATATACGAAAAATATAATGGTGACTGTGTACAAATACACTTTAAAATATACCTCTCCCGGAACTACTCATATGAATACCCTATAGAAAATCGGCCTAGACTCATTTTATATAATAACTTTCACCAATGAATCAATGAATCTATAACATAGAAAAATATTTTACCAATCTGTATGAAAGTTGCATAGGTTAACGAATTTATAAAAACAAAAACATCTTCAGCTTTATATTATAATATGGATAACTAGACTTACATTCCACAGACAAATCAAACTCTGAGGCAGTGCAACATTTCACATAAATTTACTTAATGTGGGTGTGTAGGATAAACATACATATACAGGTAAATTAGCTTGGAGAAATTTTTGCGTTTGTAGTAGTGTATGGTACGGACAGCGTAAACTGGTTTATTCTGGTTTTGTGCGTGTTTCCACTTTCCACTATCAAGTGACGATTTTTTGCTTTAGATTGAAATATCTCGGAAACGGTGCGTCCTAGGCCAAAAATAACAAAAATGTTGACCCCCCGGAGTTTTAAAAACCTAGATGAAAGGAAAAAAAAAAATTAAAATATCGGTCTCTCCTCTTTGAAGTTTCACTTCTATCGTGTGTGAATCGCACACACACCTTTTTTTTATAAAGTCAAAACCTTTTTCTTTAAAATAAAAACTTGTTTTTATTGAAAACAAAAATCAGAGTGTTGCTAGGGATAAGTATAAAATTAAATAGTAATGTTAGGATATCGAAACATTTTTGTATAGGCCAGAACGATATAGTGGAAACGCGCTCTAAGATCTGAGTAATATACACACCACTACATATGCAAAAATTTCTCGAGACTAATTTCACTGTACATACCTGTAACCTCTTCCAATCTCGCACTAGCAATCCATGCAGGAGGATGATTGGGATTAGTTTCTCTGACAGATTTCAAGAGTAACCTGGCTTTCTTAATGTCGTTAATATCACCGCCGTATGTAGGTATCATAGACTGCAAATCCGTGAGATATCCCTTAGGATCGACCACCGTCTGACCCGTCACAGAGTCAGACACTTGTGATAGTTTTACTGTCATGAGTGTGTTACGGGCTTGCCCAATCTTTCGAAGATCCAAGTCACCTGTGAATGTAGAGAGATAGTTAATATCACTATGTAGATAAACATTTTTATTTGTATCTTATAGACGGAAGCAATCTTAAAGTGCTGTGGTACTTTGTTATTAGAAAACTAATATTAACGTCCTTTGTTGGTACAACGCTAATATTATCGTCCTCCCCGTGTACTCGGAAAATACTCTAAGAAGAATATAATGTTAGTATATTTGTTAACACGCTTTTATTAGCTCGGTATGTAAAATCCAAATCTTTAAATGTGATTTTCACCCACTCTTAAACGTCGGGTTGAATTGAAACCGATGACACTACAATAATATAATAAATTTGTCAGATTATCCCAATCAGGATCTTCAGGATTAACGGATTCTAAAAATACGGCAGTGTCTTGTGCCACGTACTCAGGCGTGAAGCATAATTATGTGACTTACTTACTTGTTACTTTTTGAGCCTTAATGTGAAAATAATCATCAGTAATGAGTTAATGACAAAAAAAGCATAAATAAATTACAGTTCATAAAACGAAAAAAAAACTACTATAATTTTTATTTGTGTTTAGTGATCATTATTTCGTTTCAGTGACATACAAACATATTTATAATTACAAAAAAAGAAATAATAACATACCGGATGGTGTTAACATTCCTGGTGTCATTACACCAGGCATCATAGATGCCAATCCAGAACCAGGATCGATTGAGGAACTGGACTCTCCACCCAAATTCCTAGACAGCACACTATCCGGCAAGGGCGTAAACTTTTCTGCTCGAGGGTTTCGTTGCTTTCTGTTTCGAGCGTCGCCTACTTCGGGTATAGCCGACCATTCATCTTCAGACACCGATTTTAGTTCACGTTTTAGGTCCGAAAACTGTTGTTGGATCTTTGGTCTGGTAAAAAGTAATTGTACTTAGAGTGCTATCACAACAGTAAAAAAATACATCTATAGAAAGAAAATACTTATACTAAAAGGCAGAGCAAGCCAGGCTAGTCAGCAAAAACCATAGCTCTAAGAAATTAGATGTGTAAATCGACACTTAATCGCTTTAATACTCGTAATTACAAGGTGTTATTTTCGTAACCGACAAATCGTGTTTACATGTGAACTAGGGTTTTGAACCTTACATACAATTATTATGTGATTAAATTCTGATTTACTTGTCTAATGTCTACATTAGCAAGCCTAAAAATGATCACCTTTCCTGACGGTATCTCTCTAAATCTTCTTTAAGGCGCTTTTCTCTATATTCTTTTCTCTTTTCATCCATTCTCTTGTCAATAGATTCATATATTGCATCAGCTTCTGCATCATCTTTGTCGTAAGGATCCTGTTAAATAAATAAATAGATGTATTTTGATATATCACAGTATATTGGTTGTGTTGGAGAATACTTTTACGTATTTATCATCAAAAAAAAAACACAATAATATACAATATGAAAATAGTTATACAAAACCTCCTTTCGAAGGAGAGGCCTACATTCAACAGTGGACTGTTAAATGCTGTTGTTGATGATGATACAATTGATTTATTTCGAAAAAGACAACTCCCGCATTAGGAATATATCCTGTGTCACGGGGCACTTTACAAACATACATGAAACGGACACAAAGAACACCCAGACTCAGAACAACAATTTGTGGATCACACAAAGTGTTGTCCCATGTGGGGATCGGACCCACAACATTAAGCGTAGTAGTAAGCTGCGTGGCGACCCCTTAAACCACTACGCCATCTGTGCAGTCACACAGTACAATAATAGGAACTAAAAAGACACCAAGGTTTTTACTTGTGCTATCTTAAGTCTGTCAGTATTATATATGAATAAAATCAAAACTATTAATATAACAAATAGGAAAGATATCAATATTCCTACAGGACAAAAGATTCTTACCTACTAAGAACATAAATAAACAGAACTAAATATGTACATACCTAAATACAAATATTGCATGATTTTTAAACTGTTAAAAAATATTTTTTTTCATTTGGATTTTATGTTTTTCTTTGATCATCATCATCAGCCTATTGCAGTCCACTGCTGGACATAGGCCTCTCCACATTGATATTGACATTATCTCTTTGATTTTGAAAATATTATATAAATCTCAGGGTATGTTATTAATAAGTCGAGGTATTAGTGATATTATTCCAATATCGTAAGTAATATTATATACATTTTGATGCTTGAAAGGCAATCTTTACCAAGGGGTACAAGTAAAATGTGTTGTATATAACTAAATTCTAATGATATAACACTCATAATGAGTCTCTCTAAAGATTATTATTATTATTATTGATATATTCAGTGTTCAGTTTTGTTACTTTGTGTTATGTAAAAAAATAAATTTAATTCACCTACCCTAGAAATAGTGTTAAAAGATGGTCTAATACTTAAAGTGGTTGCAGAAACATAAATTTCAACAATTCTAACAAGAATTAGAAACTAGTAACACATAAACTAATTAGTTTAAGAAACCTTTGAAAATAATGATCCACTGTATCCTGAGAATTCATCGTAATTAGAGTCATTGAGGTCCTCATCATCATCCTCCTCCTCTGGCTTTTTACGTTTAGCTGCTGGGGGTGCATGCCGATCATCCCTAGAAGACAAATGAAAAGGCTGTTATCATGTTAAACATATACATAAATTATATTAATAAATGATTGTTAAGACTGTGTCATTGACTATTCGCATCAGTGCTGCCAATTTTCTGATTGTAGCCCAATTGTGTAAAAATAAAAACATTATCATCTCAAAAACAGTGTATCTCTATTTGTTAAGCGAAATGTTAATCCCTGACTGCCTTGGTTGGGCAGTGGTAGCATTTGCAACTGCTGTGCTGAGGTCTCGGGTTCAATTTCCAGGTCAGATCACATGTTTGTATGATCTGCAAATATTTGTTTTGGAGTTTGGGTGTTTTCTATATATAATATGTATGTATTTACAAAAGAAGTGTATAAGTATTCTATCAATCAATCTAGCTTTCATTATACTAGCTCTGCTTAGTTTTAAATTAGATGGTGTTGTGTGTGAGATGACCGAGATGTCCCTTCTTTTTAAAAATTTTGCAACTTTGGAACTAAATAGGGGCTAAGAGTCTATATACTCTTAGTGCCAATTATTTCAATATATTTTTTTTTTAAAAGACTACTCCCACTTTAGGAATATATCCTGTGTCACAGGGAACTTACAAACATACATGAAACGGACACAAAGAACACCCAGACTCAGGACAACAATTTGTGTATCACACAAAGTGTCGTCCTATGTGGGGATCGGACCCACAACACTCAGCATAGTAGTAAGCGGCATGGCAACCGCTTAAACCACCACCCCATCCGCGCAGTCAATTTAACATAACATAACATTACTTTAATATAACTGTTTCAAGCATCAAAGGGCATGAAACTAATCAGATGGATGGATTCTTTGTACTTTTACAACACTAATAAGTAACATTACTTATAATGATTTTTATTGATGAATTTTCATTTTAGTCCCTTTTCTTCTAATTTTATTTTTGCTAAATTTTTATTTATTTATACAACGAATTATATTTTGTCTTAATAAGTTTCGAGAATTAGCTCTAACTTTAAACTGGAAAGCAACTGGACTGTAGGATTAAACCACAATTGTATCCCAGAGGTAGAACTAACTGAAGAAAAACTGACTGACTACCACTGAAAGTTCTCTTCTTCTTCAAGGTCCTGCTACACACTTATGTTTTGCAGGCCATTTTATTTAAAATTTCATTTAATTGCCCAATCTCGATGCAAAAGTCTGTCAGTAAATACATCAAATTCAATTAAAAATTTACTTACGATACGTCATTGGCGTCTCTTGCTGGACCGATATCAGATCGTGTAGTAAATCCAGTTGCTCTGTAAAGCAATTCAAATTGCAATCAATAGGTATATTACATATAGCGGAAATTATATTAGTAGTGGTGTACATAAAGCAAATATAAAAAGTACATATTACATTAATTAATATACTTAGATTGTAATACATAAACAAATACGTACCCTCTACCAACACCAGCCACATAACCTAAGGGTGCTGGAATACCTAAGAAATGTTTTTTGTTTTTATTCACAAATGCTTGCGGTGGTACTGACATATTTTGCAGTCTATATTTATTTCCAATTACTTACAATAACAGACTTCTACAATTATTTCATTCATAAAATGAAAACACTCAATCAAATTGACATATTTGACATTTCAATATTATTGACCATAGAGAAAATATAAGCAATAGAGCATGCAAGGAATCGTTGCACGCAGGGTCCTCTTTATCACTTTCTTAATTCGTATTTCGTATGTCCCAGTCACGTTAATCAAGTCATGCAGTGAGAGAGAGACAGAGAGAGAGAAATAAGTTGTACAAGCACTATACAACTTATTTCGGCGTTAACTGATCGCTGGGCAGCAGCGGACTATTAAAGGCTGTTGATGTGATGATGTGACTGAAATAAGTGTCCAATAGCAGATGCGTACAAGAGGCGATGTGACTATGGTTTTGTCAGAAGGTTGCAAGAGTTTCCAGAAAGCTTTATGGTCTATTGCTGACGATGACACTTAGACATCGCAAGCGATTAACGAGTCTCGATGATTAATAAAGGACACGGCAAAAATTACATGTCATAATGGCAATTTTTTGGGCTGCCATACTGGATAGAATCAAAAATACAAAAAAAATACTGGTTGCCTGTAAAGTCGGTATACGGGCGAAAGTTTTACGTGACAACGACTTTGAGTGGTAAAATAATTTTAATGTGAATATTCATTCGTATAGTATATTCGTATAGTATAGTCTGTCTCTCTCGCTCTTACCGCCTGGCCACAGCCAAGAGCGGTGCGGATTGCGGCGCGTCGTGAGGCGCGGTAAGCGGTGAGCGGCGAAAACAAATGGTAAACAACCTATGAAGTATGCCACAGCTACCGGCGACGCGCACTGCGGCGCGACTTGCGGCGCGGCAAGAGGCGCGGGGCACGCGGCGGCGACGAGCTGCGCGATGTGCGAGTGAAACAAATGTACTAGCCAATATCGAGGTGGCCACAGCTCAGAGCGGCGCGCGCGGCGGCATCGGTGGACGCTTTGAGGCATCGCGCGACCGAAACAAATAATTTTGTTTTTATCGCGCGTTGAGCCAATAAAATAAATAATGGATATGGAACGATTCATTAGTTAGTTTCTATGCTTGCCCGCGTATATTCAAAAAATTTATCGGGATAGTTCCTATATTCATAATAAAGAGTGTGAAATTCGCCAAGTTCTCTCCTTCTCTGGTTAACTGGGTGCGCTCCTATTCTTGACTGAACGATATCTTCAGCTAAGAACGCACTTGTTTCAAGGCAATATCGAGCCACTTATGATAGGAGCATTTTAATGGTTTATCCGTTCTCTAAATACGTGCACCGTTGACGCCGCCGCGGTCACAACTAGTCTAGCTGTGGCATACCACCGCAAACCACGCCGCCCGCCGCGCCTCCCAACGCACCGCGCAACGCACCGCCAGAAACTGTGGCCAGACCGTTAGGCGGGCTAACCATGCCCGAGTGGAAGGGACGCGTGCCTCTCACTCGCTCTCATTGTGAGCGCATAACGTAAGCGGAGCGTAACGCAGTTTCTTGAAGTGTCACCCGGCAAACCAATTTATAAGACGTTGTCACGTCAAAAAGTACCTATTGAATTTCGAATTGTAGTCTATCTTTTACAATCACTTTTAGATTTTTGCTATCACAGCGACAATTTTTTGGCCATTCCGATATGAAAGCAAATGAGGAAACTGATACCAAATACACCGTTACCGAGAATCAGCGTGTGTGAAGATGAAAAAGGCAGACCAGTTTCATGCTGTGTCACGTCACCTGCAATTGCCACTCAAGTTTTTTTGGATACAAGAGGCAAACGAGAAGACGTATCACCTGATGGAAAGTGACTACCGCCGCCCATCATCATCAACAGCCTTTAATAGTCCCCTGCTGGACATAAGCCTCTCCTTAGAAAGGAGGTTTTGGCCTACTATACCACGCTGGCCAAACGGGTTGGTATAGGTTTGTGTCAAGATTTCCTTCTCTCTGCAGTGCTGTTGTTCTGCGTAGTTTTTTCCCCTTAGTCGGCTCTGACAACCCCCACGGGATGAAAAGGGGTGGTGACACTCTGTATTCTTAATCCGTCACACACGGACCATGAAAGCCGCCAGCCGCCGCCCATGAACACCTGAACTCGGAGGTCACTAGCGCGTTGAAGGCCTTTAAGGAAAAAGTACCTACGCTCGTTAATTCGATTCAGAGATTGTTTTTTGAGGTGCGGGACCTCAAAAGGAAAAAGCCGATCGATTATAAGATCATTTTGTTGTTCGTCTGTCTGTCCGTCTGTCAATACCCTTTATCTCGGCAACGCGTGGAGGTATCGAGTTGAAATTAAAACCATATACTTACTTATATTTACTTATTTAAAGTAGGTACGTAATCAATAATCGAGGTACAATTTCACCTAAAAAAGATAATAAAGTAATATAATATAAGTAATTATAGGTTTTAGGGACTGATTTCGGGTAAATCTCGGAAAAAAAATGCGCGACCCGATTCCTGAACTATTTATAATACGTACTTACTTTGTACAAAACACTCGGTGGGCGAGTCTTTCGAATAAAGGGCCCACAAAGACGTTTCAATTTGAATGTGTAGATGGGTTTGGTCAAACCACTGGATTGGTTCTATTTTTCTCCCCGAGAACTGTCCAAAAACTTTTTGAGTACAAAATTAAACCTACTTACTTGATGATTTACCACTTATTATTCGCGACATGTGATTTTAGCATGATGGTTGCCCTGCGCATTACAGGAGAAGTGTAAAATAATGCCTGGCTTCTAATTATCGTAATGTGTGGATACGAAGTGGGAAGTTGGGAGGCTCGTGCGGATTCGAATTGGCAGTATCCGTAACAAATCAGTATATTAGCATATTCCTGGTTCGTATAGGTCGTCATCTTCAACAGTCAGCACAAATCAAAATAAAGTTAGCGATAGCTAGTCACGAATTTAAAAAACAAAGAATTTATAATACTTAAATTTCAGGTTGCTATGATTGACCAATACTTGAATAAACGAAAATTAACAAGACACAACCGTATTGTAAATTTGATTACTAGTTTATTTTATTAAATAGCATTGCATATTTCTATATTTGTAGTGAAATTGAGTATTTTGTAGTGTTGTTGTATTTTTAATTATCCCTTACCTAGTTATTATGTTTGTTTATTTTTTCACATTGATATTAATCGTAGTCCATGAAATCAATGTACATAACAATAATAATAATTTTTTTTCGATTTACAATGATTCTAATAAATAGATAAAACGTATAAAATATTTATTTATTCCAACTGCACGGATGGCGTAGTGTGTGAGTGTTGTGAGTTCGATCCCCACATTGTACAACACTTTGTGTGATTAACGAACTGTTGCCTGAGTCTGGGTGTTCTTTGTGTCCGTTTCATGTATGTTTGTAAAGTTCCCCGCGACACAGAATATGTTCCTAGAGCGGGAGTTGTCTTTTTTAAGAAAAAGAATATGAAAACAATAAACATATACCTTTTTTTTTTTCCGTGCGGAAATCCCCTCGGATACCACCTGTCGGTGGCATGTCGGACTCGAACCGACTAAAACCGCACGCCAGATGGCCTCACCTGTCACCCCCAGGCCTGCGCTTATGGAGGACGGAGGTCGTTCTGCGACCTCCGGCGCCTGAGTCGCCTGCGTTGCCTGGCCCGTGCCCGGGCCTGGCGGGCCGGGAGAGTTCTAAACCTCTCCCGGTCCCGCTCCGCCGTCTCCTTCGCGAGCATAACATGCTCGCAGAAGGAGACGGCAGAGTTCCACGCACTCTCGCTCCGCACGATAGCCGCAATCAGGCTATCGAGCGAGAGAACTCCCACTCCGATGGCCGCCACGAGGTCTCGCCTCTGCTCAACCCACGCCGGGCACTCTGCCAGCGTGTGGAGAGCCGTGTCCACGGTCTGGCCATCGCAGTGGTGGCACTCAGGCGTTGGCTCTTTGCGGATCAGACACAGGTGATCTCCGAAACATCCCTTCCCAGTGATCACCTGCGTCAATCGGTATGAGAGGGTCCCGTGACGCCTCTCGAGCCAATCCTCCATAACGGGTCTTACCGCCGCAATGACGGCGTGCCCGAATAAACATATACCTACACGATTGCATGCTCCTTCGTTCATCAACTTGGTGTTTGTACTCTTCATAACTTTTACTAATTAAAAAGCGCAATTATTGTACAGTATTGAATACGAACTGAAGGTTAATACCATCATTAAACATGGGTCTTCTGAGTAAGTATGGTGCGTGTAAAATCAGTCGTATTGAGAAGCTTATCCTTTTTTAAATGGGATAAATACATAATTTACTAAAATAAGCAGCTACCTCCTATTACTCCTACTACCTCGTCTAAAGTCTTTGCATGTTACTTAATACGAAGAATGTTAATAAAATTTTGTTTATGGTTATTATGTTAATACTTAGCCGAATAACGCTTCACATATTAACTCGGCATTCACATGTAGGGAATGACGACTCTATACCATGACAAGGCTGTTAAAACAGTGATTTTTTATATACTTAAATTTTATTCAAGTTGATCATAATAAATTTAGTTTCCTTGTTGGAATATACCAAGTGGTGATAATACCAAGTCCGTATTTGTACTAGCAATAATTGCTCTCATCAACATCATTTCGTCTGGAGTGAATCGCCAGCCGCTGAGTTGTCCTAGACTTTGTAACTTTGGGCAACACTCCATTAGAAGTTCCACTGTGGCCAGGGTCAGACGTGGAGCGTTTGGAAACCAAATACCTTCTAGATTCTCGAACTTGTATCGATGAAGCATGCTGAAAAAGAAAAACTGTACTTGTTATGTAATTCAAATTCAGCTGTGTGTGTAATTCAAATTCAATGTGTTAGACTACTGCCGTATATCGGGTACGTTAAAGTCTGTAGTTCTAGTAAATACTTAATATCGAAAATATTGATAGTTTAGTAGAACTAATATCTCAATACAAAATATCTAATTGCAATAATAATAAATGATGATGACCTGTAAACAAACGCATCCTAATGTAAACTGATGTCGTCAACAATCTTTATGTGTATCTACGTAAGTTTCTACGTACTACTACTACTAACTTTGTGCCACATGGCATTATATAATAGTCAACCTTTAGATGTTTCCGTAAGAGACATGGCAGGTACATAAGTACAATGAAACGAAGCTATGAAGTAAACATTTACAAATATAAAAATAACAATTAATAGTGCTATTTAAAAGTACCTACATAGACGATACACAAATACATGTTTATGTTTACAAAAAGTATAAAACATATACAATAATTTCTATAGTAGTAGGATTACAATTTACCTACTATTTTTTTACTTCTCTACTTTTTCAAGTTACTTATAATGTTCATTAAATTACGGTGGCGACACGGCTGTTAGAGTATGATAGTAAATTAAACAAGAAAAAAAAAATCTGCTTTGTTATGGCGCATTTTTCAAAAAATTACAAAGTTCGATATTGAATATATTTACAATTAATGAACAAAGTTTTATAACTTTAACTCAGCACACGCGCTAAATAAGCGTCATTCTGGTCGCTTTTGGAACTTATTACTTATAACTTATTATTTGTTGCTTTTTTGTGGACACTTTCCGTTTGTCGTTCATACAAGATAGTGCTTCTTACCTCTACCGTCCATAAATATAGGTAAGTAGTAATATATGCATGTGTATACGTTTGTGAATTATCATCGTGTACCTATGTATTTGACCTATTAGCAAATAACCTATAGTTACAGGGTAAATTTGAATGAGATGAAATTGAATGAGATCAATAAAAAGCACAATTAAAGTTAATCGTAATTGAAACGAATTCACGTATTCAATGACGACGTCTGTGGTACTCTTAATCAAGCTAATCCATACCTACTTATAAAAAGGGGTTGAAATTGACGTTGTATAGTAATAAATACTTTATTTACATGATACCTATGAGTTGCTTTTTTTTTTAAATGTGCAACATTAGATTTTTAACTTTCAATTGTTTTTTTCTATTCAGCTTAGACGTGAAAGATTGATTACGACGCTGGGTTTAGAGAGGAGACTGCTAATAAACGCACCTTGCGTTTTTGGTTTAAACGCTTTCCTAGTTTAAATTTCGACTTGAAAAACAAACCACGTGGAAGACCGCCTGACCGACACAGGTGAATAACGCTAAATTGAAGGAGACGGTGGAAGCCGATCCAAGTCAAACTATCCAGAAATTAGCGGCATGGTTTACCGTTACCCTATGAACAATATGGACTCATTTGTACCAAATCAAGAAGATAAAAAATTATAAAAAATGGGTGCCTCATGATTTGACTGATCTGCAGAAAGAAATGCGTATTGAAACTTGTGTTGCCTTGTTTAATCGGTACAGAAATTAAGGAATATTAGATCGAATTGTGACATGTGACGAAAAGTGGATTGTTTACGATAACCGTAAGCGCAAAATGCAATGGCTGAAACGCCGCAACAGTGCCCTAAAAAGCTTACCAATAAAAAGGTAATGGTAACTTTTTTGTGGTCTCTTCAATGTGTTATTCACTATACCTTTCTTAGGTCTAGTGAGGCAATAATAGTAGATGTTTAGTGTGCTGAACTTTGAACAATGATGGCGAAATTGGCTGTGAAACAGCCCCGACTCGTGAATCGATCTTCACCATTATTGCTCCATCATAACACCTCACACAGCACGAAAAACCGTTATAACTCTAGGATACTCTCAAGAGCTGCAGTTAGAAACAATAAGTCATCCTCCGTACTCGGCACACCTTGCTTCAAGGGGCTACCATTTTTTACATGATAAAGAAATGTCTTCCTATAAGGCAGTAAAAAAAAAGGCTTTCACACAGTTTGTCGAATATAGATCCCCAGAGTTCTATCGTAGTCTTAGAAAAAAACGAATTTCATATTTAACCCTTAATATTATAAATTTGAAAGTGAGTTTGTTTGTTTGTTACGCTTTTACGCTTAAACCACTAAACCGATTTTAATATTATTTTCACCAATGGAAAGCTACATTATCAGCGAGTAACATAGCCATACTTTTAACCGCAATAATGTCTACCGATAGTAATTAATAGTATATTTCAAATAGTTTTATTAATGGTATATGAAAAAAGATATCATATTTTTTTAAGTAACTACGCGTTGTAAAGTTTAAATTAACAATCTTTGGTTTATCCTCAGGCAACTGTCAAAAAAATAAAATAAACGACTAATCAGAGTAAAAATATGCCTATTGGTAGTGTTGTAACCTTCTGTAGTGAAGGTGCTTCCTAAAATTATTTTTAAAGAAAAAAAAACTGAAGATTTTAATCCTAAGAAATATAAGGTGTTCCCTTAAGTAAGGAAACTATTCTTGTGCTGACTATTAATGGTCACTACCTACTAAAGACTAACTGTAACTTACGTTCAAAATTCAGCTCCAATCTACTTTCGCTCTCACAAATGTCCTAAATTTCCAAGTAGTCGAGTAATCTCGTAGTAAAGTATTGTTCGTAATAAGACTAGCAGAATACCGATTGAATTTTCGGTCACAATACAATATCATCACATTATAAGTCAACGTGGATGTATTTAGTACTTTTCTACGAGAATACCTTTTATAACATTTGTGAGATTGAGAGTAGTCTGTTGCTGTTACGGCTACTGTAAAGATCCGAAATGGTATGATTTGAAATATCTTACGAAATGCGTCAACATTGCCTTCTTACCGTGACATATCGTTGTCATCAAGTTTGATTTCATCACCAATTATCAATTTCTTTAACTTTGGACTATTGGTTATAAGGTACTTAAGACATGATGTCGACAAATTACCGCCTATAATTTCTATGTGTTCTAATTTGTTTAACGGTATCTCTTCTTCATGTGTTGCTGTTTGCAATTGAAAGAATTCAATGGTTTCCAGATTTCTACATGTTTCCGCTATTCTGGTAAAGTTAAATGAACCAGAAGACCCAGATAGCATCAATGTCAGAATTTTGTGACCAACTTTATCCAACAACTGATGGAGTTCGTGGCATTGAAATTTGTTCAACTTAATTTTATTGATGTTGTTTAATTCTTTGATCTGCTGTAACACTCCATGGTCAGGCTCTTCCAAATAAATTGTTTCTAGCATTGGACACAAAGCCAGAATGGCTTTCATCGTCCTCATATTCGTCTGCACATCGTGCATGTATTGTAAGGTTGTTTTGAAGCCTGGCGGACAGTCTGTGTTGTAAATGTGATAAATAGATTTACCAACAAACGAGTAACTGCCAAGATTAGTGAGGTTTGGTAATCTCCGTATTAATAAGGCTACATCCGTGTGATCAACGTTTTCTTCGCCATACATTCCTATATTAACAACAGTCAGATTTTGTGTCAATTGAGGATTTCCTTTTAACATGGCGTCTATACCAATCTCTGTAACGTCAGTTTCACCAGAAATGTCTAACAACTTCAGCACTTTATTATATTTACCAATATATTTGAGCACTTCGTCGTTAGCAATATATGGGATGTTCAGACACGTCAAATTAGGTGTATTTTTGAGTATTTGATACATGAGTGAAAGATGTTCATCCTTAACCCATACACCTTTGAGATTCAGAGAAGTGAGATGGTGACCTTGTTCCGCAATGAGCTCAAGGACTTTTCTATAATAGGGAACGGGGAACATCCCTGTAGCTAAACTTTTGACGTTTTCTTTGAGCAGCAAACGCATTGTATAATATCTAATAGACGGATCTAAGTATTCGGAACTGAGTATTAAGTTGACGAGATCTTGGAAAATGTCACTTGTTGCGCCCATGACCTCATAATATGATGAGACCAACATGAAAGGTAGCGCCGTATCTTCTTCCGAAGTAACTTGAGACAGGGCGTAGATCAATTGTCTCGCCACTAGAGACAATGAGATATCTTGAAGCGGCGGCACTGGACACTTTGGCGACATGGTTTGGAGCACTGAACACGGTTAAGTAATAAAATATTTGTATCACTGTATTTCACTAAGCACTAATTGAGCATAGCAGAACACTGCGATTTTCAGTTTTAGTAAAATAAAGAAGTGAAAAACCGTGTAGCTATTTAGCTCACGCATGCGCGTTTGCCGTTGGATCGATGCCAGGGCAAGTTTATAACAAACTCGCGCGCATATCTCGCGTAGTATTTATAGAACTTTTATAAAAAATGTTTATCTCCAGAGGCGTGTGCAATTGTTATTATAAACTAAATTAGCACATAAAATTTAAATTTACGAAGAAATGTATAGCGCGCATGCAATTAATGAATGTTAATTTATGTTAGGCTATTACTCTACTTCTATGGATGTTGACGTTTAAAACACAACAAATCAAGATGTTTTTTTAACACACCCTCACATGGTATCACGGGCGTGAGCGTACCCAGCATTTACTGGGTTGGGCAACATTAAGAAAGCATGATAAATTATTGGAATTTATTTATATACCATTTATTTCTAATCTTATTTCAGCAATCAGATTTCTGCAAAACCTGTTTAACATTTCGTTAATTTATTTTGTGCTTCCAGAGCCCGCTTCCTATGCACACTCATTATGCAGAGGCCGACAAGTCGGTTTTCTGTCATTATCGAACGTAGCCAAGTTTTTAATATGCATTTAGCAATAAAAAAACCTTTCGATAGTGCAGGGAGTACATGGTTGTGCGAGTGAAATATGAAGCCCCTGTTTTATGGCTGGCTAACACAGTTCTGCTAGTGCATATATTTTTGTTGACACATATTTATTATACCACAGTTTAGCTTCAGCAATAATAATTTTATTGGTGAAGCTAAACTGTGGTAAAATTATAATGGTAATTTTTTTAAATTCATTATACCATTTTTGAAGCATTTTGTGGGGGTGCAATGTAGGCAGTGTGATCACGCGAGAGACGCGTGGTTTGTCTTTCGAGCCGGAACAATATTTGAGCTGCGGTACTGCAACGGAGTTGGAGATTAAAAAATACTGTATTTTAAAATTATTTATTACAACGATGTATTATAGAATCAAAATAGATTATCTCAACGGTCTCGTAAGAAGCGCGCAGCTCGGTCGCCAAGTTGAAGAGTTCGTGACACCCTCAATTGTCGCAATCGTCGCTCATGGGGCGCTACGCCGCGCCCTCTGCTCCGTCGCTGGTTGACCACGCGCCTCTCGCGTGAACATCCTCCCACCCCTTGTCCTCTTCAAAGAGAATTGCTGAACCCTCTTGTCACCTTGTCTCTCTTCGTTCTTAACTATGCCACTCTTGTGACGCCGTCGAGTCCAGAAAAAGTCCGCACCATGCGACCCAAAGCTCAAACCAGCGGTGGAATTGCACTGTCTCAAAGAAGCACGGGCATCCCCACAGTGAGCTGGCCAGATGATGAGGACCACTTGGTTTTTTGTGCTGCAGTAAAGAAACGTACTCATGAGAGAATCTTAGCCAGAAGTGCTGTCGGATACATTCAATCCTCTGTAGCCAGTCGAAGCAGCTGATGATCTTCTCAGGAATCTGCGGTCACGATACAGACGTAAGCGGTCGTCCAATTAAGAAATGGGAAGGAGTGAGAGCAGAGAAATCGGAAGGATCAGCGGATAGAGGTGTCAAAGGACGAGGCCTAAAACAACCTTTATTTGACACAGACAGGTTGCTAACTCTTCGTAGGTAAAGTTGGTAAGACCTAGCAATATTTCCTACAAAGAGTTAGCAACCTGTAAGCTGTTCGCTATCAAAGTTTGCCATTGAACAAGGTCGCGATGTTTTCTGTGTCGGTTTTTCTTTTAAATGGTTTTCACATTGAAACAAATCTATACTTTTCGTCTGCAGAGCTTTTACTACCGGTGCAACAATGCCGAACCTTTTGCTATGAGGCTGTTTGCCTCATTAACAAATAATTTAGAACTTGTAGCTGCACAATGAACTGACACAAACAACTAATAACAACTTTGGGGACTAATCCCACCCACACGCCCACCACTGTAACTCCTGTACACCAGGATCCACAGCAGTGACCCACGAACACACCGAGTTATGACACTCGGGAAGTTCCAGGAAGAAATTAAACTGTCTTGGAACCCGCAACGAAATTAATCAGAAGAAAGTTGGATTAGTTGGAAATACAGTAAATCCATTTCCCTCCTTAGCAAAGCGGGAGACAAAATGAAGTAAAATGGGCATACACCCTTTTAAACAGGGAAGCACCACGGCCACGAAATATTACGGGTGCTACGTGAGCTATATTTGATTTCTATAATATGTATGGCAGAATCGCCTAAACGCACGGAAATTCACCCTAGTTGACACAAGATCCCCCTAGTATACCGCCCCAGATGTCATCTGCAAGGTATTCAGCATTATATTACGTTCATTATACCAAAGACTACATTCCCAGAGGATATGATGAGCAGACTGTTCATAGTGAGAGTTAGGTGTTGAGCATTGACACAATGGTGACTCGACTAATTTAAAATGAATAAAGCTTGCTCTTAAAGTTACCATGACCCATAAGAAATTGAGCGACACTGTGATCCACCTCAAGCCATGTCCTCGACAACCGTTCGCGAACAGATGGAAAGAATTGGTAAAGATGGCGCCCCTTGGATGATTCATCCCAGCGTTGTTGCCATTCGTCTATGAGGTCATTATAGACATCGGACTGCTGTTGAAGCAATCTTGTAATTTTCGCGCGCCCAAAAAATCGCATTCCATGTTTTGTTGTCTTGAATAGTACATGGCTGCACGTCTCTGCACCTCGAGATCGACCGGAAGCACACCCGCCAACACCGGCAAAGCCTCAGTGCTAACCGTCCTATATGCCTTGCACAAGAATATCAGTGCAAGTCGTTGGCCTTGTAACAGTTTGCGACGGACAGCGCCTACGGTCGCCCTATCGGCCTATACAGGTGCACCATAGCACATAGAACCTAAATAAGTAGCTCCGTATATGATCTTTAATGTATTAAATGATAGACCCCATGTCGCAGTTAATATCCTTGTTAATGCACAGAAACTCTTTTTAGACCTTTCATTAACTATTTTAATATGTTCGATAAATGAAAAGTTTCTTTCTAAAACTAATCCTGGGTAATACACTGAGGCCTTATTTTTTACAGTAACATTGTCAAATCTAATGCTTGGTGGTGATTTGAGGTTACCTTTTAAAAGTAGCTGGAAGATTTTGTTGTGTGCAAAATGTAAGCGATTACGTTCACCTCATTGAGATATCAAGTTCAAACATCTATTGGCTAATCTCTCAAGCCCCGCCCTAGTATCAGATTCCACCAGTAATAAGCCGTCATCAGCATACGCGTTCAGAGTACATCCGGATGGTATTGGTATCGCAAGAAAATGTCGAAGCCGATATTCCACAAGTATGGACCTAGCACCGATCCCTGAGGACATCCCATTGTAACAACTTGCATACATTGACATAGCAGAACATTAATCATACCCTTGTCCTAGATACTTCATCCCGCACGATTTCCTTTGAAGCAGCGGTTCTCCTCGCCAAAATTCTGCCGTGGGACATAGAGGCGAGAGCCCTCGCGGATGTATCGTTGGCGCCAAGAGGCACGAGAGTTGGGTCGGAATCCTGAGACTCGAGAAATCAAGGTCGAGAAATTCCAACTCCGCCAGGTTCTCGTGGAGGAGTGAAAGGAACAACTTGGGCTACCAAGCGCCATTATAACGGCGGTAAGACCCGTTTGGCTCCCATACCGGCTGACGCAGGTGACCTGATTCTCTTTCATCCATACCATGATTGCGGCCATGGCAGTGAGCGATAACGCTTACTACCATGTCAGGTAGTTACGCTCGCAAGGGAGACGGCGGAGCGGAATCGGAAGCGGTTTATATCTCTTTTGGTCCGCCGGGTACCGCAGACTACTCAGGAGCCGGAGATCGCAGAACGAACGAACGCAGTCCTCCATAAGCGCAGGCCTGGTGGTGAGGTCATCTGTCATGCCGTAGATGGCCTGGGGTCCGTCGGGGTACCAGGGTACACCTGGCTCCCCGGCTACTGGTACCAGAGACGGCGTGCGGTTCATCACACAAAATACGCAATTATTGAGTCTTTGTTAATTTGTCGGTGCATTTAAAATTGCAAATCTCTGTTGTGAGCAGAATTAGCGTACGTACTAAGGTACTCGTATTTAGAATAATTAATAAAGGCAATTTTGAATTTGACTTAATTTTATTGTTTATCTTTAAATTTTACAGGGATGCCCTCTGTCACCCCTAATTTTTTATATTTTTATTGAATATGCCGTAAGGAAAAAAGCAGAATTAGGTGAAGGAGGGGTTACATTTAATGTGGAGAACAACTTCTAACTAAAACTAAACACCTGTTTAAGGCCAAGATCAACACCGAAATAAAGAAACAGCTCATCAAGATATATATATATGGAGTATTGCATTTTATGGCTGCGAAACTTGGACCATGACAAAAAGAGACAGGGACAGGTTAGCAGGACTTGAAGTGTGGTGCTGGAGGCGAATAATGAACATCAGTTGGATGGATAAAAGAGCCAATGAGGAGGTCCTGCTAACGGTGAGCCAAAAGAGGCAATTGTTGTATGCCATTAAAAACAGAAAAGGCAAAATGGTTGGCCACTTGATAAGACATGACAACTTCTTCAGAATAATACTGAAAGGAAAAATAGAAGGCAAGAGAAAGCGAGGATGGCCTAGATCAATATACATATCGCAAGTGAAGGAGAATGGACTTAGTACGGAGCCTTGCGGTAAGCCTTTCCATGTCTTTCTGTGACCGAACTCCTCGCCCAAAACTCTAAGGACTAGAATTCGGGACATAGACATCGTACACATGCACTGTATCATCTTGACCGGCAGTCTCAGCTGGTGCAATTTGTGCCGGAGAATAGGATGAAGGAAACTGTCATATGCAGAGGATACGTCAAAAAAAGTAGCGACCACAGATGAAAATTGAGA